TGAAGTTTCTTCTTCACTATTATTATTATTTCAGTGAGAAATAAAAAGAAAGAGGTTTGGTAGAACATTAACTTAAACCTGCTAAGTATCTTTCTTCGAAAGAATTTTTAGGAAGATTTGGAGTCTTATGTTGAATTCAGTGTTGATTGTTTTAAAATATTCAAACAAAGACAATATTGTTACCTGTTTTTAGCAGGGACCAGTACATACTGATCGTGTAATCTATCTCATTCTTTTTCACTTCTGAATTACTGAACATAGAGATAGTTTGTTTTTTATTTTGCCACTCAAAAGCTGTTCACATAAACGAGATTTTTATAACATGCATCTGATACATTTAGTCCATTCTGACAATGTGTCAGGGTCTTCTTTTTCATGTTTGGTCCATCTCCTGACGTCTTCTTCCACAAAAACCCCAATAATATTTATGAATTATGACGCCACATCGAGGTTCCCTAAATTCTGGTCCTTTTAAAATTAATGATTTGAGGTCCTCAATATTTACTATATTTATGTCATCAGTAATAACGTGTCTAGCAGGACTAAAGTTGTAGGATGAAGAAAAACATGAACAGGAAGGAGGATTATGTATTATATGAGGCCTCTGTAATATTTTCTTGTTATTAAAAAGTTTGGAAGCAATAGTCGATGTATATTTGTAGGAACGATCCTAAAGTGTAGTCTTCAACTTGAAATATGGTGGAATACAAGAATGGAACCTTCTGTGAGTAAGAATATTTCGAATATTAACCGCGTCAATTCATTTGTTGGTATATTGAAGTTTAAAGCGCTTTCATATTGTACGAAATTTTAACATTTTAGTGGTGATACTTTTTACATTTAGGTTGTTTTTCCGACATCTGACGAAAAGGCCCGAGATGACGCTATTGATAGCAATGGGTTACTTGAATGGTTCAGGTGGCTTAAAATGTCTTTTGCTTTTAATTCAATATTAAAAGTTAGTTCTAAAGAAAGAGGAACTTCTCCCCTTCTTTTCTTTACGGCTACTCAGCTCCCTTGGCTGAAAACCAATGATTTAGTGATATGCCCATTTAAATAGAGATTGTAATATCAATGCTTACAAACCAATAAATATTTTTTAAAAAGTTTTTAATCATCTTTTTAAATGCGACAGAACTTTTTAAAATGTACTTTTCGACCGAAAGAAATAAAGCATAAACACATTGTCCTCTATATACAAATACCGAATGTTTTCTTAACATTTTAGCAAAATATTTATTTTTTATTCAAGGGAAGGTGAATTGAAGATTACGCTTTTGCACTAATAAATATCGGATAATTTTCGCGTGTGTAAACTGCTTTGTATCAAATAAATAGCGGAAATCCCCACCTCGTTAACTCGAATTGGAGTTCCCAGCAACACTTAATGGCCGTTAACTGTGATGGGCACAGCTAATGTTCGGTGGTTTACTTTGATTCCTATTATGTTTTCTTTTCGTTTTGATATTATGATTTAAAAAGCTGCACATTTTTCATTTCTCCCGGAAAAAAACTTCGCTTACTTTTGGGTTAAGCTATTTTATCTTCTACAATGGGGGAGATTTTCCTCCATTTACGTTCTTCTGTTTCTTTGACAAAATAACATTTATTTTGAAAGTGTCTTTGTAAACAATAATTATTATAATTTTTAATTAGGTTCCAAATAAGTCCCATATCTGATTATGGCTTTATTTAGAAATACGGATGAAAAAATAAGTTTTCGTTGTGTACAAAGTAAATAATAGCTATTCAACAAGTGCGTTGAGCATGAACTACGGTAACTTTTGGGTTCGTTAAAAGATGAGCAAATAAATATAAATACCCCCCCCCCCTCCAAAATAGATATATTTCTCGCTATAAAAAAATGAGATATTCGGCTAAGTTTTTCTTCTACTTCAAATGCCAGTTTGCTTTCTTGTAAGATGAAGAAAATCATTTTTTATGTAAGAAAAAAATATTTCAAAATCAAATTAGTAGAGTACACTTCAAAGAACACATATCATATCTGTTTTTAAAAAAATGCATATTTATAGAACTTCTGAAAGATTTTTATATCTAGTTGAAATGATTAACATGAACCTTTTATTCGGATGTCGGATATATAAAAGTCATTTTAAGTATGCGGCTTCCTCGATATGCCATGCATTTGAAAAAAATTATGAACAATGTAGGTAGTTTTACGATTTAAAACTTGGTGCAAAAAAATTATTACAGTAATGAATAGGACAAATTCACAATAATGGAGATTCGTCAGTCAAATTGTCTACTATGTGAAATAATAACTGTAACAGGTATATTATCAGAAAACAAGCATCCATTCAAAGGAAATGGTCGGGAAACGAATTTACACCTTTTTGGGGCCGAATTACGTCAAAAGTACAAAGTAACACAAAATAGAAAACGTGACCGAGTGATAAAGATACGCGTGGATTTAAATCAGAAGTATTGTACAATTCTTCTTGGAATGTAAAACACGTTATATAATATAAAATTTTCAGAAACCTGCAAAAAATTAATACACTTAAAATTAACTTGAAATTAAAATTTATTATTTGAAGATAATTAAAAAAGCGAAGACAGCGAGCATCGATCAAATCAAAAAAATAATAATAATAATAATGTCATCAATTCTAGTTTTTTCGCGCAACAATTTAATTGAAGATCGATGTCTTCAAGTATAAAAGAATGACACCTTCAATTCTGAATTATTGTGCTGATCTCTACAACAGAGTCTGACACTTCAGTTTCATGTTTGGATATTTTACTACATATGACGTTCGTGGTAATCTAACAACCAAAGTTTGTGATAAACGTAACGACTTTAACTTTTCAATTATCAACTTATTATTTTACTTGCTTATGTAGCAATATACCTTCATCACCTGCATACAGGGTTCATATCTCTCATTTGATTCTATGCGCAAGAGCATGCTAGCTCGACGTATGCATGAACAATTTCTAAGGCGAGATAAGTTATTGACAAACAAGTTGGTTTAACAAGAATATCAGCAGTTTCGTTTAAAGTTATCATTTCGTAAGTTCTATGGTCGATACAACGACCTTGCCAGCAAGTACAATTTATCATCGAGTCAAATGCTGACAGACGTTTTTCATACGAATTGTTAGTCCATTATTTACATACGAGTTGATGACAGATTTTTTTCCGTTATTTCCCGATCATGAAAAGGGGCACACGGCGGGTGTGACCAATCGGCAGGGGATGCTCACTCCTCCACGGGACCTGATCCCACCTCTGATGTTTTATAGGTCCGTGTTTCCTTTGATCCTGTATTTTATTGTTTGATAAACTTTTCAGCTTGAATAGTGTTCGTTATCTTCATATATTTCATTAATCAATTGCTCGCGATTGAATTGTTTGGTTCAGAAAAAAAAAGGTCCATGGGCCTTAACGGTCACCTGAGTAAAAAACAACAATCCATAGATGATCCATAGAGTACAAATTGAAAGCTGTAATACCAAACCAAAGTTATACAACATAAATAAGACAAATCATGGCTTTCTTATTCTTGAGAAGAAGACTCTTCAAGATTTCGTACGTGTAAATCTCTTCGATCATCTATTGTGGCCCCACTCTAATCCCAGAGTCACGATTTGAACAAACTTGAATCTACACTATCTGAGGATGCTTCCATGTAAATAAAACCAATCATGCTTTTGTCGTTTTTTAAGACTATTTTTTAGAATTGTTCCTACATATTCCTATGTATAACTGGGGATCATGATTTAAACAAACCTGAATCTAGGATGTTTCGACATAAGATTCATCTTTCTTTGCCAAGTGGTTCTGGAGAAGATTTTTCCAATGTATTCCAATGTTAAACTTTGATCGTTCAGTGTGGCCCTGTCCTATTCCAGAGGTGCATGGGTTGAATAGACCGTTTTCCGTATTTTGTCTCAGAGTTATTCCCTTTTGTAGTGAATTTTCCTCTTTGAGCATCCAATTTTAAACATGCATGCATGCAAGAAATATATGGGGGGGGATATGTATAATCTTAACAAGATGAATTAATGGAGGCTTTAACAAACGTATATTCATAAGAAAAATAGTGTTATCTCTACCCCAGTAACCAGCATAACAAATTAAACGTGGCTGAATAATGAAATGCTCTATAAACTTGAATCTACACTACCTAAGGATGCTACCACATAAAGTTCAGCTTTTCTGGCCCAGTGGTTCTTGAAGGAAGATTTTAAAATATTTTTCCTATATATTTCAGTGTTTTGGAGAAGAAAATTTTTAAAGATTTTTCTTATGCACTCCTTGTAAACTTTGATCTTCCACTGTAGCCCCACCCTACCCCTGGAGATCATGATTTGAACAAATTTGAATCTAGTGACTGCACTACCTGAAGATGTTTGCATGTAAGTTTATTGACTTTCTTGCCCAGTGGTTCTGGAGAAGATTTTTCCTATATATTCATATGCAAAACTCTGCTCTTCTATTTTGGCCCCACCATACCCCCGGGGGTCATGATTTGAACAAAATAGAATCTGCACTACCTGATTAAGTTCTCAAATAAGTTTCATCTCTCTTGGCCAAGTGGTTCTGGAGAAGAAGATTTTAAAAGACTTTACCTATGTGTTCCTATGTAAAGCTTTGATCGTCCATTGTGGCCCCACTCTACCCCCGGGGGTCATGATTTGAACAACTTGAATCTATACTATCTGAGAATTTTTCCATATAAGTTTTATCTTTCTTGGCCCAGTGGTTCTAGAAAAGATTTTTAAAGATGCCATGAGTGACTCAGGTGACCTAAAAAAAAAAAAGAGCTAAGTCCACTCTTTCCTTAAAATGGCCATATAAATATGTATATATACACCAATTTTTTTTACTTACAATCTTAATCTATGTACCATTTTAAACATCAAGATAAGAAAAGACTTATATTTCCTATTTAAAAAAAAAATAAATACACTATGAAATGTAAAATCAACAATAGGATTTTTATTTTTCTTCATAAAGAAAACTCACAAATAGAGACATTTTTAGTTAAGGTTTATTTAAAAGCAATTTCAACAGTCAGCAATACATATAACAAAAAACCCTAATTATCCAAATGATTCTACTTATGTGGTTTTTAACATAAAACTGTATCACATAATAGTTTTTGAATCACAATATATTATAAGTCTGGGGAGAAAAAAGTATTATGGCAGAAAATGGTATCAATTCTTATCCTAGAAAAAACCTACTTTAACATAGGTTCAAACTAAGAATTAATTGATACAATTATGAATTAAAAAGCAATATAATATATTACAATATACTAAACTTCTTCTGTAAAATGGGAAACAAAACAAAATTCTAAAGACAAATAAAAATGGCAACAGTCAAGCACTAATCGGAGTACACATACTGGGGTCATGACTTCTGAACTTATTTTGCTTTTCCTTGATTGGCTACCCTCTCCATGGCAGCCTTGACCTCTGCCTCATCAGCTAGGTAGTAGTCCTTTACATACTTCATGTTTTCATCCATTTCAATCACCAGGGGGATTCCTACAAAAAGAGAATTTGTTTTAGTTCTTAAAAATAATAGTTAGAAAATCTCACCAAGGCACTGAAAAATAATAACAGACAACCGTAGATCATCAAATATTCGCAATACATTATTTCCATGAGATAATTATTTAGTATTTAAAAGTGAGACAAAATTTTTCTGAATGGTTATTTCTTAATATCCTCAAAGCCAATAAAAATATACGGGAGAATGAAATTTTTGCGAGAAGGCTGTCTAGCATAATCACCAAAATAAAAACAATGCGAATAAAAATTTAATTGCAGTAGTACAGATTTTCAGTGATTATCTGTAGGGATATTGTGTACTATATAACAAGTGTCAAACTGTTCAATGTAACAGTTTTAACTGATAGGGTAGGAGACAAAATGGTACAATGTGTCAGAATTTACCTGTAGGGATGTTGAGTTCTGGGATTTCCGCATCAGGAATGTTCTTGAGGTACTTGACCAACGCTCTAAGACTGTTTCCATGAGCTGAGATTAACACCCTTTGACCAGACTACAACATACAACAAAAAATTATATTTGTTATTAAGTAAATTCATTGGAAAAAAAATTCTATCAGCTGCTAGGGTAAACAATACAACAAAATTAATGACCTTCATATTTGTCTGAGTTCACTACTTTGCTTATTTTGATCCATTTGATGGTTTGCTTGGTATGCACACTATAGTATTCCAGTGTTTTCCCTTTATTTCAAAGTAAAGGGTTAGAGATCATTTGCAAGAGACTAGGGTATGAGGTTTATGAACAAAATCTCTGTGGACCTTACAGCAAATTTTTATTTCAAAGCGGCATATTTGTATATAAATGTAACATTACCTTAATGGTTGGAACTATGATATCATGCCAGTATGGTAGTACTCTGGCTACGGTGTCTTTTAAGCATTCACAGGCTGGGACAACTGCTGCATCATATTGCTGTAAATAATAATAAACATGTAGAAATAGAATAAACAAATATTTCACATACATGCATTTTTACATTTCAAGTTTTTCCGGTATAAAAAGAAATTACAAATGATGAAAATTTTGATTTCTTCATAAAGAAAGACGTCATTAAAATAAATAGTGTGTGGGGTGGGAGTGACAGATACAGAAAGCTAGAGAAGTGGGCAGAGCTTTAAATCAATCACATGGATTAATAACACATGTAAATTTATGGATTGTCAGGTTTATTTTTGTTTTGTTTTTTCATGATCAATTGGCTTGTTTGATAATGCCTTCAGAAAATCAAAACAATACACCACTCATGTTTGCTGGGAGACAACTCTAGTTCTATAAAATATCTATTTTAATTACTTACACTGTATCGCCTATCGTTAGCCGACCATCTTGGATCTGAGGGTTCCAATGCTGGCGGTGGGGTATCATAGGACCTACGCCAAATCTGAAAGACATAGTCAATCTCTCTTCAAATACAAGTATAATCGGCACAGATCTTTCTCTTCCCGGTTCACCAATATCTTGATGGTCTTTATAAATTTTACATTTGTTATATACAAGCTATAAAGATATAAATTTATTCATTTGCACATCTGCCATTAGTATAATTTTTGTCATAAACTTTAACAATGCAGTGAAAAATTTTCCAAAATATGAAGTGTAACCTATCATCACATAGAAAAAAATACACCTACTGCAGAACATTTTTTGTCAAGGTATTCTAACAATATTGTTTCTTTGGCTGCTGAAATCTCAGCAAGATTTGTTAAGACTAAAAAATTTTTGTACCGTAATTTTCGGATTATAGGTCGATGGGGTATATATCTCTTCAGCCAAAGAGACGAACTTACTATATAGGACGAAAAAAATTTCAGTACAACGTATCAACAGGTAAACTCTAAAAAGAGATTACCACGTATCAAGAAAATGCTATTTTAATTACAGCTTGTTAAAACCTGAATTGTGCCTCCAACTTGCCTGTTCAATGCCTCTGTAGTTTCATACTGTTGTTAAACCACAGGCATAAATAACACGTAAATACGTTCTTATTTTTGTTTAACCCAAAGAATAATAATTCTGATTTCAGAACAACTTGCATTCCTCAGACATTATTTACCGGTGGCGCTTCGATGTCCGCCATTTTCAGTCAGGGATTTCCAGTGCCATTGAATGTATATATAAAGCAACAGTAAAGAACTGAAATAATATTACCACGCTATAAGTTTAATTCATAAATTTAACTGAGAGTAAAATTAATACTATTTCAATTTATCAATCTACTAATAAATGGTAAAAACCATGTAACAGTATTTTAAATTTTTATGGCTCTCTTCTAACTTTACAAGATGGCTACCGCATGATGGCAATGGATAACAAGGAACTCATAAGCCAGTTTTTTCCTTTGTCACAATTTAATGGAATTTATTTTGTAAGAAACAACAAAGATTTTATTGTTTAGGTCAAAATAAGAAAAAAATTATGAAAGTGGCAAATTTGCTTTGAAATTGACGTAAATTTTATTGAGCGTGTAAAGATAGAAAGGAACAGTGAAGCGGTTCTAAACTGACCACAAACTGGGTACTAACATCTCTGGCAAGGCAGTAAAAATTTTTACTGTTACTCTAAAGATTACCACTGCTATATTACCATTCTATTTTTGTGGGTGTGACGTTCATTCAGTCTCCAAAGGGGAGTACTAATTCCTCCTGAACCATGTACAGAGTTTTTATGGCTCTCTTCAATGTACTGGTGAATGCTATATCAAACTCATAACCCTTCTCTTTTAACATCTGAAAAACAACAAAGTCAAGGTCAAGATGGTTAAATGTTTTTATGCTCTTTTCACAGATTTGTATTGTTTATATTTTATCTAGATTGATCACTGTTCTTTATCTTTACCTTTTGATTTGTATTGTTTAAGTAGATCACTGTTCGTTTTACACCTAACTTCCTAAATACCTGCCAGTATTTGAATTCTAAAACATAATTTACTGGCACATTAGATATGCCGAGTCAAGTCTATGCTAGAGAAAATTCGGGTTTTACCTTTCCTGCATTCTGAGCTTCTACAATTCCAGTCTCCGACAAGTCAGCGTCATGCCAACCACAGAAAAGATTTTTCTTATTCCATTCGCTTTCTCCGTGACGCACACAAACTAATGTGTACTTGGCCATTTTCCTAAGTCGATGGAAAATACGATATTCTTCCTTTGCCGGTGGTGTCAACCTGACCTTGAATGCAAGTGGCCTTGAGATTCTAATATCTTAACCAATACGAGGCCAAAATCCGGATTTAAGTTGATACTAAACACGTAGGCCTAACGGTCATAGAATCCGGATAGCCAAGCAGGGGAAGAACTGTCAGTAGACATTAGTACAAGTAGTATAGATATTTTTACATTGGATATAAAATTTATGAGAAAAACAGTATTAATTAAACTGAAGTATTTTCACAAAAGGTTTAGGTATTTGCTGTCATTTATTGAGAGGAAATCATATAGTGTTTATTACAAAAATTACTAACAGAATATCAAAAATATGTTTAACTCTATATGACCTCAAATTCAGTTGGATAAATTTATTATAATAGGCAAAGTCTGCAATCTTAACTTTTTACCCATTTTAGAATTACAGACATTTTCTTCTCCCTCCTCACCGTTTTGAGATCAAAGGTGAATAGGAAAAAGAATAAAAGCATTTAAATTGTTGTATTGTATGAAAAAATATTCATCTGACAACCCAAAAGACAAATCATATACATGTACAGTATGTTGTTTTATACCCTGTTCAAAGATTTGTAATTTTTTTTTTTGATTGTGGTTTGTATATTTTTTTTCACTTGACACAGCGAATCATCGGAATGTGATTCACAATCCTTCATCAATAAAGTGAACTTGAATTTACCCTAGCTGATGTAAAAATACTGGAGTCACGTAGTGTACAAACAGACAAACTGACATGCACACAGCATCTCACAATGACATTGCCATATCTGTATAAAGGCATCAATATTTAAAGAGGACATCTTTAAAAATAAGGAACAAGACAGAAGAGTACTGTATAACAGTTTTATTCATCACTGGATAAACTACTACTGGACGAGTCACTGGACATAAATCCCACATCCTCAGTCTCTGTTTTGTGTCCTTTAATGTCTGACAGAATGTGGTTCCCACTGGCTCCCAGGCCAAGCTCTGATGACGAGTGCCACCCCGAGGAAGTGGGGGTACCCTCTATAAAAGACAAAAATTATCTCTGAAGTACCAAGTATGCCTAATATTCATATCAAGTCAAGTGGATCCATTTTTATAAATGATGACTTTGTCTCATTTTTAAAAGAGATGATTTTTAAAATTTTTATTTGTTTTTATCGAAGCATTATACTTAACAACTAAAGAGAGACAACTCAGCGTTTAACAATTTAGCAAAATATTTTCATTCGCATGATTGTTAATAAATCTTTAAGTTTTTGCATTTCAATCTCAATAAATAAAGTAAATTTTACTTTAAAGTACATGTGTCCAAGGTGACTTCACAGAAACCTGTATTTTAATGCATTGTACACATGCAGTATTCCTACATTTAAATTACCAGTATAAGTGGAAATTTGAGTGAGACAAAAATTTAGCAATTTTTACATAAAATCTGGTATTTCATTTTTAGCGAGAAGTAATTTTAGCGATTTTAAAATGCTAACTAAAGAAGCTATTACAATTAATAAGCAAATAATTTTTAGTGATATTCAATTTTAGCGATGTCAGCACCCTCGCTAATAATGCCAAAATTAAATCCTCGCTAAAAATTCTACATGCACAGTAATACTGACCTGTTTGAGCCCCACTCCTGTTACTAGATATGGGATCCCCATAGGAACCTTGTGATTGTAAAACAGGGGTATTTAAGGGGAGATCACCAGCTTTTCCAAGAAATCCAAGTCTCATTTCAAAATCTGTAGGATATGGCCTTCTGGGATCACCTGAAGAAAAGAATAATCTATGACTCGATTTTTTCATATTATGCCATGGACTAATAAAGGAAAGTTTCATATATGCTTGCCTTAACACACTAAAAAATTGATAATCAAATTGTGAAAAAACAACAAAAAATCATGGGATTGCTTCACAATAAATCAACATCAATAAATATTAAATACTATAGCAATTAATTAATACCAATCCATAATATATTTTCATAGTTTTATATTTTGTTTGTCATAGCAAGGGAAATGTCTTTACCCTATGATATTTCTGTCAATGCACATGCATGTATCTGTTATAAGCATTTATATTAAAGATACAGTGGACATGTTTTATGAACATTTAATTGACAAGCACAATTTAATAACACTTGAAACCTTTGGACAGACTCCTAAAAGATTTAAGATTCCCTATCTTGACACACCCCTATCTTGACATGAAGGTTCTGTACATACCTGGGGCCCATGTTGGGGGTGAAGCCACGGCATTACTGGCACTGATTCTGTGGGCAAACTTGATCAGTTCTTCGGATGAGATCTTCTTTTTGTTTGCCTGATTAATGGCTGTCAATTTCTGTTTAGCTTGATATATTGCAGTAGACTGTAATATTTGAAAGACATATATTATACCTGTAATTTAGAATGGATACTGTTAAATTTGGTGGTGCATAATCTATATAGCACCTTTGGCAGAAAGTACCTACACTGCTAAATTTAGTACATGGCTAAATGTCTTGTGTATAAAAATCTAGCATCTTCAGAAAGTGCTAGATTAAATCTAGTTTAATTTTTTACAAAAATAATTTCTGCCAAATATCATGCACACCAAATATAATACAATTAAAGTACTTACATGTACATGTAAAAATTCGAATTGAAACCTGGTCTCAAAGGGTGATTAATATTTTGTTAAAAAATCATATATAGTATAAACATTCATTAGATTTACATGATTTAAAGTGACTGAAAATTGCAAATATATATATCACAAACCAGGATTGTTTCTGCTTCTTTGAGATTCTTCTGTAAATGTTTGATCTCTGCATCCCGTTTGTCCACCTCCGTCCTCAGTTCATCGATTGTCTTCTGGATTTCTGCTTGCTCAGCAGCTATAAATAGCATAAAGAATACATGAAAAATATCTATCTTTTCAAATTAACAATCTCTAACTGAACTATACCTGAATGATTCCCATATTGGTCAATTCAAAATCTGATTTCATGGTGACAACCAATACCTAGCTGCTATATTATTAGATTTGATAGCAAGAGCACTTCATATATAACATACAGAAATTCTATGATTATTTACATGCATCACAATGATTCAATGCTGGTAACTGCACAATGCAATCTTGAGCTTTTTGATGTACAATAAAGGCAAAAGTGTATTTATAAAATTCTGTAAAATATAATATCTATGTAAGACAATGTGCAATGGCTACCCAAAGTCTGATGGTCTGCGTCAAACCCTGATGGCTTGCTGTCTTCACAGATGCCAAAGTCTGATGAGTGATGATCACAAAAAATCTATGCTTCTTTTCAGACAAGACCCGATGCTTTAAAGTGGGATGGTCTGATACCCCAAGGACTGATGGTGCAGAGGAACAACCAACATCTCAATAATCCAACGTGAATCTGTTGCATGTCAACCCATCAGAGTTTGACACAGACCATCAGACTTTGGCATGGCCCCTGGACTTTGGAGCTCTACATATATAATAATTTGAAAACAAGAGGCACAGAAAACTTTATGCTAGAAATGAAAATTATGTTTGATACCTAATTTTAAAGTTTCTTTAATTTCTTTGTCTTTCATTGTCACCAACTCAACCAATGTCACAGAATCCATTGCATCTGGCTTCTGTTGACTTTTCGGTGTAGCTGCCACTTCAAACAGTTCCCTGGAAAGAAATAAGAGCATTAAAAAATATCTAAATTTTATTGAACACTTTTTCTCGTTGTCTGACTAGTTGCAACAAACAACTTGACACTTGGCTAGCGATGATGGTCCCTGGTACAGTAAAACTCGTTTAGTACGAACACGGATATAGCGAATTCACGGATATAGCGAAGTTATCTTGGATCCCCAGCTATGTGAATTTAACGTATTCCTTATATGGATATAACGAATTACGGAAATAGCGAAGTAATTTTATAGGTCCCAGTGACTTTGTTATAACCGAGTTTTACTGTATAGCTAAAAAATCAAAAGTTTATTACTTTATATTTACATTTGCTGTGTTTTTCTACTAAGCCAACTGAAATTGATTTGAAAACCATTTTCGTTTATACTCACACGTAGAAATATACATGGAGATATGTGCATTAACGTGACGTCACAATAAGGCTACAGCTATGTTAGTAAAAGTACAATGATATAGGGGCCGGCAGTGAGAAATTCAAATATTGAGTATATTTTTGGTGCTTCCAAACATGTAAAATGTAAATATAAGGAACTTTTCAAGTTTAGTGTGAATTATTGGCGTGTGAATCACACAGACTTGCACGTAGGCATATTTTTCATGAAATGCAGCGCGCTATGCCTACGTGACAAGTCTGTGTGATTCACACACCAATAACTCACACAAAACTTAAAAACATTCCCTAAGTACATGTATATCTAGTGGACCATTGTGACACTTTGTCAAGCTGATAAAAAAGTGTTAAAGAAAACCTATTTGCAACACTGGATGTGTAACATTTTTCACATCTAATTCAACAAATATAACTTGACGTATTACAGAAAATTTTACAATCATGTACAATTCTTTTCAATACTTAGAAATGAGCTCCACATCTTCTATGAGTGAAAGCAACTTCTGTTTTGTACTGATCTCTGCCATGTTTCATCTATTTACAATCCTGTCCAATGAAATAAATTCTTTCAAAGAGTGCATAAGATTCTAACTAATCAAAATTTAGCTTACAACTCTCATGAAAAGTGAAACCGGAAGTACATTAATAAATTTAGAAACCATGAACAACAAATTTGATGCGTGAGTATTTCACGTTTTAAAACCTTTTGCATGTCATATTTTTCCTTTTAGGTAATTGCAAAAAGTAATTTAAAATTTGTGCCTTCTTCTTGTAAGATTAAGCGACAGGCATCATGCACTTAATTAGTGTTAAATCAGGCGAAGTCTTATTGTGCATGTGACGTCAGATTTCCGAATTGCTAGACTATTGACACTAGTACAGACACGTGTGATTTTGTTTAAAAATGCCACAAAAAATCAAGTCTTTTGATGTTTTACGCTCTGCAGCTGAGGATAATGAAAATGGGTATGGAATATTTATGTTGAATACGTGTAATGTTTTACGAATTGTGTCTTAATGAGGAGTTAGAAAACAAAAACATACTTTCACGGTTTTAAATTCCATATGTGATTGGTTTGAAGATCTTTGTGTATTATTGGTAATAAGTCAATGTTCATTTTAAGGTTCAAAAACATACCAATAACTGATAAAAGGTACTTAGATACCATATCTTTATTGATTCTATATCTCATTTTGAGAATGCCTATGGTTGCAAATAAACTAAGTCAAAAACCTAATTCTATTCTTTTATCATTGTTTTCAGTTGTTTCCAATTTTAAAGTTAAGTCAAAAGTTCCTATTGCATATCAGGAAGAATTTTAATTCTGGCAATAATTCTTTCTTTAACATGTTTAATGTCAATAAGTAATTTCACTAAGATATCATGGATATTGGATGCTTTGTTTGCTTCAGTTGTTTTATTAATCTCTGAAAATTTTCTTGAATTCATCTGTTCAGAATAGTAAACGGTAAGTTATTAATAGTAAAATTATATCATACTTTAAGACATTCATCATGTTCATAGATCACACAAATTCTGAGATCTGCTATATTAAATGCTAAAAATATCTGATGAAAAGAATGATAAAATTCTTTCCTTTAAGTTTATAGTCAAACAGTAGTATTGTGACAATAAGTAATTTCATTAACATATATGCATATCATGGATATTGGATCTTCAGACCCTCCCCTGTAAGTCTGGAAAATCAAAATATAATGATAGAATCTTCAGACCCTCCCCTGTAAGTCTGGAAAATCAAAATATAATGATAGAATCTTCAGACCCTCCCCTGTAAGTCAGTTACTGGAAAATCAAAATATAATGTTCTAACCCTCCCCTGTAAGTAGTGGAAAATCAAAATATAATGGTAAGTTATTGGAAAATAGTAAAATTGAAAGTCAGTTATGGAAAATCAAAATTTAAGACTGTAATGGAAAATCAAAATATAATGATAGACCCACCCCCTGTAAGTCAGTTACTGGAGAATTAAAATATAATAATGATAGAATCTTCAGACCCTCCCCTGTAAGTCTGTAAAACTGGAAAATCAAAATATAATGATAGAATCTTCAAACAGTGGTATAATCTGACAAACTTGTTTTGCCACCTGTGGAAACTCTTAATCTTATTCCAGTTTTAAGGACATTTCAATATATAAACAACATTGTGTTTAAACAGGTCAATTTAAAAACTTTTTATGTATATACAACAAAGACATTTAAAAAGTGGAAATGTTAAAGGCATGTTTCCGTTCATACATATTAATTATAGTTAAAAACCTTGCATTCATCAGTGTGCTTTTGTTACATTGAAATTCTTTTAATTTTCATTTGAAGTAATACATATACAGTGCCTGACTATTATCCTTTTTAATAAAGAAAAAAATGCACAAAAATACAGTTTCATGGTAAATAAAATTAAGCACAGAAATTTAAGTAAGAACATGTTCACTTTCATATGTTAATAAAGTGGTCAGCAGTGTAACCCCCCCCCCCCTCCACCCCCCGGCCAACTTAATTAATCAGTAATAAACTTATTTGCTAATGTTTTTAAAGTCTGGTTAATTATATTCTTAATAAAGCTGTCAGAATTTCTATGTAACATACACAGACACACAAATAAAATTAACAGTTGACCAGAGAGATGTATTTACAGAGTTGAAAATCATTCCATAACACAATATAATAAGTCTCTTGATAGTGAAATTCACAAGATAATCATGGCACATGAAGCACTTTGTTTTCACAAGAGTAACAATTAGGGCTTCTCATGGAATCAAAATCTAAAAGGTGTGTATTTGTCTAGCTAGAGGAAAGTATCAATTGTAATTAAATTCTTTTAATTTTTCAATCGGCGATCTTGAAATATAATTACAAATTGATCTAACAGGACAAATATTTTTTTTTTTCATAACTACAAACAGAGTTCAGGGTATCTTAAAGTATATTTCTTAATTGCATTAATAGGTTAAATTTACTATCGAGGATATAATTACCCAAGCCAATGCATTTAAAAGATGTGATAAGACCGCAACAAATGATGAAATGGCCGCCTATTGCAGTGTCAATAAGGCTATTGGGGGAGGATTTGGGTGGCCGCTGGCCGCGTTACACAGGTGGCTGTTTATTCCAGTTAAAATATATAGGAAAAATCGTCAACCGCAAGTGGCCGTTGATTTCGGGTATAGTTTGACTGTATAATGATAGAATCTTCAGACCCTCCATTGTAAGTCAGTTGTACTGAAGAATGAAATTATTAAAATAACAGAATTTTCAAAACACCTTCATAAGGCCTAAAATAAAAATTAGTTTGTTTGCAGTTGCCTACCGACCCACTGAAAATGCACCCGACCCAAATTTTTTTTTAGCCATTTTGTAATTTAATTTTTTTTCTTCAATTTTTCAAAATATTGTAACTGTTTCATTTTCAATTTTTGACTTTTGTTTTTATCTATCTGTGGTTTATAACAAGAATGGATCTTACGCATGTTTAGTAGGCCTTTAAAAACATTGAAAAGCTCTATTATTTGTAATTTAACAAAAATCTTAATTTTACGTTTTTTTTTTCCAAAAAAAAAAAAAGAGTGCCTGCATACCTACTTAGTCTGAAAATATAGGTCGGCAACTGCAAACAAAATATTTTTTAAGCTTGGCCTAAGAAGTTACTACTCCCAGTAACTTGACAAATAAAGGATGAATATTACAATCTTTACTCATGAATGATATGTACACTTTTTATCCAAGACTAGAAGTTTGATAACACAAAATTCAAATAGTTCACCTATCCTGTTTTTTTTTCTTCTTTACGAACATGTTTTTCTAAACTTGTTAGTGTGAGAAATGTGATACTGTTTAGCTTTTGTATTGGAATTTTGTTGTATAAAACAATATATCGGTATTCAATACTGTAAACTTATTTGCATGTGAGAAGTTTTCGCGAGAGCCTCGTAATCGCCAATATTTCTGGCTGTGAACAGATCCTAAAAGTCTGTGTCTTAAAACAACAGGTCAAAAAAAGGCTTCGTGATGAAAATTTATCATCGCAAACTAGTTTACCCTCATAAAATCTCGAAATAAAGTCCTTGCGAATAAAAGTTGGTTTACAGTAATCAGAAATGCAATGTCACTCCCTTCACACAATCAGGGACATCACAGTAGTTAATTATTTACCAATTTTTCTCTCTTACACAGAAGCCTGGCCCTGGGGAGCATCCATTACAGTTCAACTACTCCCTGTGGTTCTCCAGGAAAGCACCAGGAAAACACTCTACAGCAACTAGTTATGACCAAAATCTCAAGCTTGTGGGAACATTTGCATCAGTAAGTATTTTATAAAATATAATACATTAGCTGTGTACAATAAAGGTTATTGCCCCTGATGGAGAAGGTTTTGATTTTTCTTGGATGGAAAACCATCAGAAATGTTAAATACATGTACATTGGACAATTAGGATTAGATCAATTTGTTGTTGAATGTTGATACACTCTTTATGCATTAAAATGCATTGCACATAATGACATACTGTGATACATATACTACCGGTAATATGATATATAGCTTACATTTGGTATGTGATTTCTTTACATTTTCCACCATCCTTTAATTTGTTGATCAGCACCAATTTTTTTTTAACGAGCTACTTTTTGTCGACATAGCCGTTTCAGAGAGCTCTGTAAAATTTTTCACGCATTCATCAAGGTGATCCATACGCCAAATATAATAGTTCTAGCAAAAATGCTTTGGTTTCAGTGATTGTATAAACTTGAGAAGTAAAAACTGTATAAAATTTCATACTTTAACATTATTATTAATGCCATCATGCTTTTAAAGAAATTTTTGATTAAATACCTGTATGATGTACAATTACTGCGTATGAATTAATATATGTTCAAGCATGTTAGGTAAATAAAAAAATCTTCCCATCTGAAGTTTATTTATAATTGACCTAGAATACTTGAAGGATTCAACACAAACACCTGCTGCTCTCATTAGCTGCAGCTAGTTGTTGTTGAAAATCTATTTTTAGAATCCAGATTTGCTGTGGGAATCTTTAACCTAATTATTCCATAACACTGACCACTTCAGCTAATGTGTTGAAATTCAATATAGAAGCCAGTCAAAATAATATGGAAGCCCATAAGTGCCAACCTGTATTTATAAAGGAAAAGCAATATACACTTTATTTATGAACCAAACATGGATCAGACATATAATATTCAATCTCTTAAGATGCAAAATAAACTGAATATATTAAGGTATGGTGCTTAGATGTATGAAAAAGCTCAACTGACTCGAGCGAGTCAACTCGCAGGCCCTTCAGGCCTTTGATTTAACTATTGTTATTTTTCAGGTGGAACAGTTCTGGAAGTATTATGCCCACATAGTGCGACCCAGCGATTTAACAGGGCACAGTGATTATCATTTGTTTAAGGAGGGAATTCGTCCAATGTGGGAGGTAAATTCAACTTAACTTAAACAAAGTGTGTAATCATCTACTACCTACATAGATTAAGGATGCTGAGTGGTCAAAAAATTATCCAAGAGATTTTCCATAAAATATCAGATTTTTAAAATTCAAAAACAGTTTGTAAATAAAAAAATTGACATTTAAGTAGCTTTCTGTAATTGTTCTTATGCATACTTGAAGGATTCAGCAAATAACAAGGGAGGTAAATGGATAGTTCGACTGAAGAAAGGCCTGGCCTCTCGGTGTTGGGAGAATTTAATTCTAGCCATGCTGGGAGAACAGTTTATGGTGGGAGAGGAGATATGTGGGGCAGTCATCTCAATACGATACCAGGTACATTGTAATTTATTTTCTAGCAAAACATCCTTGCTAATATTTATATCCCCCAATATGCCCTCCCTTCTTTAAAGGGGGATATCTAGGTTTTGATTTTAGTTCTGTTTTGTGTATGATCAAGCAATTTTGACAGAGTTATGCCCCTTGGACTTAGAGAAATAATAGTTTCACAAAAATCTTTTTTTTTAAGAATGATTTACAGCAACTTTCTATTATATTTTAGAAGCAATTTCTGAAAATGGACTATCTTTTCTTTGCTTTATGGATATCTAAATCTTTACTTTAACTTTCTAATTGCCAGGAGGACATTTTGTCCCTATGGAACAGAACAGCAAGTGATCAACAGACCACGTCCAGAATTAGGGACACGCTTAAACGAGTTCTCAACCTTCCACCCAATACCATCATGGAATATAAGACACACAATGATAGCATCAAGTATGTTCTGTTGCATTTGACACGCAAACTTATCCAAATCAGTATCATACATGAGATTATTAATGGTATTTTTTCTGGGGAGTTAATTTACATGTTCTGAAGACACCCATAAATTCCTGTCCTCCAAAAATTGTGAAAAATACAAATTTAGGCAACTCTGCACTTTCCCAAAAACCCACAAACCTCAAAAATTGCCCCTCCTTAAAGTAAACAGTAAGGAAACGTTGCTCTCTCTACAATAACAGCTAATATGCAGTATACATATGTTGATATTTTTAATGTACGTTATATTTACTTGTAAAATTTAATTGCTTTATTACTTAATTACAGGGACAATTCAAGCTTCAGAAATACAGATATTTTCATGAGGTGACACTGGAACAAGCCATTCTACCTGTAGAGAAAACTGTTTAACAAAGAGACAAGGTTAACAAAATGTCACTGTGCTCTGTGTTTGGAAAAAGTAGACATTTTTTTCTTTCATTGCAATATTACAGAGGCACAAGAGCAAGAAAAATTAAACTTTGTCAGTGCATATTACCACAAGGCAAAATGGACGCAGTGTAAGAGAGTACTTGATTTATGCCCTACTGTTTTCAACAAACAAGTATTTGTGACAAACACTGCAGTTCATGTGGCTCATGATGTTCAGGATTGAATTTTTTTGTTTGCAATTTAAAGAAATACATGAAGGAACAGGTTAGATCAGTATTCATTTGATAAAAATTGTTCTTTTTTAACATTAATACTTTAATGCCATGCAGATACAAGATTTACAAAATGTATATAAAAACCTTGTTAAGTATTTTATATCATATGTTTTAATGTTGCAATGTGTTTGCATGTGTAAACAAATGTTGTTTTAAATAAAAAATACTAAAATCCATTTGTTTGGTATTTATATTTAAATTTTATATGCTTTGTGCAAATGAAAGATATTCCAGCACGCGTCTTTACATATAATTTCAGGACTGTTATTTTTATTATACTAAAGATGTATCCAATTATGGCACTGTTTTAGAATAGATTCACTGGTTGGAAACAGCTTTACCCAGGATTGACTAAGTCTTATTCTCATGAATTACATTGTACTTTTGAGTAAACTAATGTGAAGTCCTAAGAAGATTTGATGATCCTAGTCCTTAAAGTAAGCAAAATATAAACGTTTTTATTAAGTGTAAATTTAGGTCAACTTTGAAGTGACCTGGAGACCACGCCCTTTGCCCCAGGGTAAATCCCCATGCAAATTTTAATCTTCAACTTATCCTGATCCTTGTATGTATGGTGAAAATCTGCCTGGTGGTTCTGGCACTTTTGGTTTTGTTTTCCTGATTATCTCCCCTTGTTTAAGGGTCCCAGTCCTAGTTTTAGGCCTTTCAACTGCCGCTAGGGGTCGGTATTATGAACGATAACTCACAGCTGAAACTTGTTTAGAGCAGGCTCGGGGTATCTAACTGTTTACACGCAAGGCAGTTTTTAGCATTTCCCAAGTGAGTCTTTACTCTCAGTAGAATCCAGTGGTTTTAAAATTTATCACCAATGTTAAACTTATTTACTGTATAGTTGCGGACACCGGTTTACTGCATATAATTAAAATTTTTAATTAAAATAAAAAGTGAAATCTACCCTCCTTCTCAGTTCTAACCTAATTAAATTTTTATACTCGGTCGTTCCCCTTCGTGCTAAGTAACACAAATAAGATGATCAATTGTTGCATTTACTTGTAAAAATATATATATTTACACAGGAAGCGAAAAAGCGCGAACACAAAAAACATGACATTAAATTTTCTTCTTCATAATAATCGTCAAAGAGAGTTAAAACTATTGAATATAGTCTGTTCCCCATTCATTTGACCTTGTTATTGCAGGTAGAGTGAAGGCGTTCTTTCTCTTGGTCAGAACTTTTTGTGTACAAAACAATGTAAGGAACCCCTTTGTGTATATAACAATACCAATGCTGAAGCAGCCTATATGTCATTCCTATAAACGATAACTCATAAATCGGCACTAAGTTGGCCATTTTTCACACCTGAGTTACCTGTCATTAAACACAACATCGGAAAAGTCAATTATAAATGATTAAACTTTTTAATGATGTAATTAAAAGTATGCATAAGTTATTATCTTTTTTGATAATTTCATGTACCTATAAATCTATCTATACAATGTTTTTACCTTATGTGCAACTTGAAAAATTAGTTGAAAGGCCTACTAGTTTTAGTATAAATGGTAGCCCTTGGGCCAAGGATACCCTGTGACAGAATTTGATACTGATTGGCCAAAGGGTTCTTGTTATGGCCCATATTCTAAAAAGTTTACGCACACCCCACAAATGGCCATAGCACAAATGGCCTTTGGCTCAGAAGAGCTAATATATGGCTTGATCAGCATTCGAACCAGGGACCCCTGCATTACCAATTAGGTGTTCTACCACTGAGCTACCCAGGCTAATATCCACAATCTGTATAGCCCATACCTCTATAGTATACCAGTAATTGCAGGATTTCATAATACTAGTAGTCAAATATGTTATGAAAATTGTTTCATTATCAGAATTCTTTCAAAAGTTACTGTAATTTGAAATTTTGACTTGTCTGTTCTCAGTTATAAGCGTGTTGAAGCCAAACTAGTCACTCTGTCATAGTTTTTCATCTTCCAAACTAGAACTTCATTTACTGAAGTCTAGCGCTCGATCATCTTTTATAGGGAGGAAGGAGGTCAAACAGAACTTGACAGCACCCAAAATTTAGTACAATAAACAAATAACTAAAATAAATGTTGCTTAAAATATTTATTTTCTCAGAAAAAGTCATCTTTTATTGAGAACTAAAAACTTTGACATCATATGAATGTAAAAGAATATAGGAATGTACATTGGAAGACAGAATTACAAAGCAAATTCATTTAGTCACAACATTTTGAAAAAAAAGACTTTCTTTCTGAGTATTTACCTTTTATATTTTCTTTCCGGTATCAATATCAAATCTCACTGAATAATTGCTAAGATAATAAATAATTTGTAGAAAAAAATCATTTAGTATTTATACGTACATCAATTTACAATGAGTTACAGTAACTTGATCACAGTAACTTGACTAGACATTAAGTCTTCCTGTAATTTACATCCACAAATAGTGAATTGTTAAACTCTGAGCACTTAAAAGAGTTAATTGAAATATCTCGCCATCTTCTCAAACATACGAAACTGTACCTGAACACCTAGTAAAACAAATTTTTATGTGAAAAATAATATAAAAAAATAAGTGAACTAAATTAGTTCATAAAGCATGGTGCATTTAAATTTACATAAAAATATAAAAGCATGCACATGTAATATAATAATCACCATATTTCTCAATGCCACTACCTGTGTAGATGGTTAATTAGAAAAATTGTAATTATTAATGTTAATTTATTTAATTGACATACCTGGTAATCACAATTTTGGCACATTGGTCTTTTTAAAGCTTTGTGTTGTCTGTGATACTGGGTTTTAATTGAATTTGGTAAAATGCACATAAAATTGTTCACATATGAAAATCTATTATTGAATGAAACCCATGGGGCAAAGAGCTCACTAGTCACTTTGGTCCTGCTGTTTTTGCCAAAAAAAATTTTCTTTTAGCAAGATATTTCCCCCTCTTTACTGGTTTTTACATTCAAGATTTTTTCAACAATTGAAAATGAATGTGTTTTAATTTATTTTCCCCTATATATATGCATAATATGTAAAACTTGCTTAATGTCCTAGACATCCTAAAGACATAATTAAATTTGAGCAAATCACAGTCTACATTATTTATATCATAAAACTTTCACAAAAATTTCTTCTTGTAGGTGATTCTTGAGAAATTAAATGATCCATCAATTTCTTCCTATTTCTTAATAATCTTCCGTTGAAAAAAAAAATTGCCCTTCTTTGAGCAAACTTGAATCCCTTTCCTCATAGATACTCTAGCTGTAATAAGTTTGATTTAAAAAAAAAACATTAGTTTCAGAGATTAAAACAACAAAACAACTGAATGCCAATAAATAAATTTTGATCTAAAAAGCTCACTGAGTTTTTGGCTCAGGTGAGCTAATAATGAATACACAATAAAATGGGACTATATTTTGTACACATGTGTGATAATCTACAACTGAACACATAGAACATCAAAGTAGCAATGCAAATACATGATAATTTAAAACTTACCGGTACATGTACTGTAGATCACTAAATTTTCGCGACACCTTATTTTCGCAAGAAAGTCATTGACTCTTGATTAGCGAGACAAAATTTTTACGAATTCTGGTTATTGCTCTATATAATCTTTAGAAATACTATCATGTGCGAGAATTTAATTTTCGCGAGCATACTGTCTCGCGTAATTACGCGAAAATAAAGTTCTCGCAAATAAAAAGTGATTTACAGTATAAAATTAAATACTTAAAATTTTAATGCTGGGCATTAATATCAAAAATATAAATTTTATATTTTATATATGTACCGGTGTAGCATAATATTTTGATACCGCAATATATTGAACCCGGGTTCGAAATATCGCATAATATTTTGAACCCGGGTTCACTTTTTCGCTGCGATATATTGAACCCCCTTATAAAATATTGAACCCCTACCTTTTTCATTAAAGAGGTAGGGGTTCAAAATATTATGGCCATAATATACTGAGTCCCCCTGCCCATTTAATTTTACAGGAAGTTCAAAATATTATGGCCATAAAATCAAGTCCCCCTGCCCATTTAATTTTACAGGGAGGGGGGTTCAAAATATTATGGCCATAAAATATCGAATCCCCCTGTCCTTTTTTATTTTGAAATAATGAAATAAAATGAATCATTAAACTGATAATCTGACAAAATAGAAATGTTCCTTTTTTCATAGAGGGCAAATAAGTCCTTAAAACCAGAGACCAAAGGGTCTTAACCGTCACCTGATTACAACACAACAATTAAGAGGATCCATCAATTGATAAATGAAGCTTTGTTGTCCAAAAGCAAGAAATATAGTATGATTACATGTAGCATCGACATAATAATTTGTCTAGTAATTATCTGTATACCATTTATTACTATTGCTATGCAGCGTATTAACAGAATATTTATTTTTTAATCCACATTGGCCCCTCTTGGCCTTTGAAGAATATATTTAAAAAATGTTGTCTCATTTTCATTCATCGTTTCCAAGTCTACCTGATCATTAAACCTATGAAATTATGTTTGTATTATACAATAAATATTCTTGCAAAATTCTCTTATTCTATCACCTTTCAAATACATTATATACACGTATGAATTATCAAAGGTGAGTGGCAAAAGGGAATAACTTTGCCCAGCAGAATACAATTTAAAAGAGCTCTGGCCAGGACCTGAACAGTTGACTAATTGGTCCTGATGTTCAAAATGCTGGTAAAAATACAATACTCTTGTATACCAAAACTTATCTCTGTTTGCCTTTGTTACCATGAAATTGATATTTTTTTGTTGTTCCCCTTAACCCATAAATGTATATTCCAAATTTGGTTGAAATTGGTTTAGTGGGTTCAGAGAAGAAGCTTAAAATGTTAACAAACGACACACAACCAAAGTCGTCATTAAAAAGGATATATCAGTTGGTCCCCTGAGTAACTGGTGACCTTAAGACTTAAGACTTTAGAACACAAGACTTAAGAACACAAAGTATGTAATATTAGTCATTTCACTTTCATCATTATCTAGCAATGCATTTTAACTAGTTTAGAATGATTCAAATTTCTTTATACATTGAATACCTTCTAATCATCATCCTTGTCCATATACTTTCAGGAAAAAAAATAATTTTAAATTGCATGGATATACTAGTATATATATCATCATTATATATTACTTCCAACCAGAAGTCTTTGTCTAGACTGTAGCTCTGCTGGTTTGTATTCTTAACAAATTAAGAGAAAAATTCTTGTGTCAGTAAGAACTTGAATATAGGAGTAGCATTTTTAAAAAATTATTTACAGATAGATAGATGCTGCTCTATGCATAAGCTTATTTCTGGTCTCTGACCAGTTGAGCTAAAAAGTATACAAACATTCAAAGAGAAGTAACATCTAACTATGGGTAATGTATAAAAATAGTTTGAATAAAATAAAATCTAATTACACTTTTTATTAATGCAAAGTAGCTCCATGCATGCATACAGGGGTGAATTAAAAAACCAGAAGTCTCTGTCGAGACTGAAGCTCTACTGGTTTGTACTTATAGCAAAGGAAGAGAAAAGTACTTAAGCAGTAAGAAATTGAAACTTTTCAACAGCAATAAATAGAATAATGATCCTTGATTAAGTCTCTTTATGTTCTTAGTGTAGTCTACTTGCATGCCGCATTATATTATAACCAGACTAAAACTGTTATTTGGAGTAGCATTTTGAGAGTATTTAACAGAAATTTCTATTTTTAGTAACAATGGCAACATCGTTCATCAATCAAAAACCGATACACAGAATTATGTATCTTAGTGTAGTCTACTTGTGTGCCAAGTAATATTGAAATCAGACCAAAACTGTAGGAGGAGTAGCATTTTAAAAGAAATTAAAATTAAATACTATATTTAGTAACCACGGAAACACCGATCATCGAAATCAAAAACCGATACACAGAATTATGTATCTTAGTGTAGTCTACTTGTGTGCCAAGTTATATTGAAATCAGACCAAAACTGTAGGAGGAGTAGCATTTTGAAAGAATTTCACAGAAATTTCTATTTTTAGTAACCACGGCAACAACGATCATCGAAATCAAAAACCGATACACAGAATTATGTATCTTAGTGTAGTCTACTTGTGTGCCAAGTTATATTGAAATCAGACCAAAACTGTAGGAGGAGTAGCATTTTGAAAGAATTTCACAGAAATTTCTATTTTTAGTAACCACGGCAACACCCATCATCAAAATCAAAAACCGATATACAGAATTATGTATCTTAGTGAATTCTACTTGTGTGCCAAGTTATATTGAAATCAGACCAAAACTGTAGGAGGAGTAGCATTTTGAAAAATTGTTTACAGACAGACAGACGGACAGACAGACAGACAGACAGACAGAGGGACGGACGGACGACGGACGCATTACCATCGCATAAGCTCTTCTGGTCTCTGACCAGTAGAGCTAAAAATGACCAAACACATTTTTAATATCCACAACTTGATAGAAACAAGAGAACAAATGATGATGTTATTTTTACCTCACAATTCTAATTTAAAGCCTCCCATTGTCTTGGTCAGGAGTGCAATAAAACATAAAGAAAAAATTAATAGGAGAATGTTTTTTGGTATGACCTCATAAACATTTATAGGGAATAATGCAAGATATTAACCATTTAAATAATTTCATGCGTTTTAATTTTTAAGTTTAAGACTAAAAATATTGCACTTTTTTTTTTATAACTCGATGGTGTCAAATATTTAAACCCTTTCCTGGGTTTAACTTTCATTTTTACTGCAGTCAGAAGTGCAACAATTACATTTAACAAAGATCTTATTTTTTCACTAAAATATATTAAATTGAAACTATTTGATGTAAATTATTTAAACTGCACCTTACTACTACTGCTTTCCAAGCTGAGAATAGATTATTGTATTTTATAATTAATTTTTACAGCAATGATAAATATTTTTAATACACATCAGTGGTCAGGAATGCCAACACAATAATTTCAATAACTTAAAATAGGATAGATTCAAAATTTAGTATTTTTAGCTCACCTCAACGAAGTTGTTTTACCCTCGGCGTCGGCGTCCCAGGTTAAGGTTAAGTTTTTTGGAGCAGTTTTCTTTTTAAGTACTTCTATGCCCTATGTTGATTAGACATGCATGGAAGACGGTTCTAGTGTGTTTCATTGTACCAGTCAAAGTTTCAGATGCTGCAATTTCAGCAAAGGAGTGACCAGGTTAATGTTTTTGGAGCAGGTTAACATTTTTTGTTCAGTTTTTGGTGCAGGTTTCATTCCCAAGTAACTATAATCCCTATGTTGACCAAACTTGCATGGATGATACATCTAAGGATGCATACTACCGGGCTTGCTTCGGATGCTGAATCTGACCTACCCGGTATATTATCCTACCCTCAATTCTTTAAGAATTGCATGTATATGAAAAAAAGTTTTATAATAAAGATACCCTACTTTCAAGTAGTGGAAGTGTGTAAGTGGGAGAAGGATTTTAACCAAATTATTTGCAGGCATATATATCCTCACTCCCTTTTCAAAACAGTTATAGGGTGACTGAATAATATATGAGCCATAATATTTTAAGCCCCCATCCCTGTAAAATTAAATGGATGGGGGAATCGATATTTTATGGCCATAATATTTGGAACCCCCTCCGTGTAAAATTAAATGGGCAGGGGGACTCGATATTTTATGGCCATAATATTTGGAACCCCCTCCCATTTAATTTTAAAGGGCAAATATTTTATGGCCATAAGATTTAACTCTTAGATTTAAAGGGCATTTCTAACATTTTATGGCCATAAAAACCCCCCTCCCTGTAAAATAAAATACTCAATATTTTATGGCCATAATATTTGGAACCCCCTCCCACTTAAATTTAAAAAAAATATTTTATGGCCATATAAACCCCCTCCCTCTTGGATTTAAAAGTCAATATTTTATGGCCATAAATTTTGATCATAAATTAAATGGACAGGGACTCGATATTTTATGGCCATAATATTTTGAACCCCCTCCCTCTTGAATTTAAAGGGCAGGGGGACTCAATATTTTATGGCCAGAATATTTTGAACCCCCCTCCCTGTAAAATTAAATGGCACCGATATTTTATGGCCATAATATTTTGAACCCCCCTCTATTAAATTAAAAGGACAGGGGGGGTTCAATATTTTATGGCCATAATATTTTGAACCCCCTCCCTCATAAATTAAATGGACAGGGGGACTCGATATTTATGGCCATAATATTTTGAACCCCCTCCCTCTTAAATTTAAAGGACAGGGGGACTCAATATTTTATGGCCATAATATTTTGAAACCCCCTCCCTGTAAAATTTAATGGGCAGGGGGACTCAAATTTTTATGGCCATAATATTTGGAACCCCCTCCCACTTAAATTTAAAGGGCAGGGGGACTCAATATTTTATGGCCATTATATTTGGAACCCCCTCCCTCTTAGATTTAAAGGGCAGGGGGACTCAATATTTTATGGCCATAATATTTTAAACCCCCTCCCTGTAAAATTAAATGGGTAGGGGAACTCGATATTTTATGGCCATAATATTTTGAACCCCCTCCCTCTTAAATTATAAAGGGCAGGGGGATGGAAATATTTTATGGCCATAATATTTTGAACCCCCTCCCTCAAAATTAAAAGGACAGGGGGACTCAATATTTTATGGCCATAATATTTTGAATTATTTTATAGGGGGGTTCAATATTTCGCAGCGATATTTTGAACCCGGGTTCAAAATATCGCGGGGTTAAATATATTATATGACACCGGTATGAATACATATTAAAAGTGTCATGGTGACTTTGACCTTTCACTGTTACTATGAATACATGGATATCATAGACTAAATTTGTTCTCTCAGTGACTTCAAAAACCTTATATGGCACATACCTGCATAACAACAACATAATTTTGTATACTGCACAACTTGACAAAGTTAAGTTCTTAACAGGTTAGTTGGTAACACATTAAAAATAACATTTACAACATGTACGTACAACGTAGCAAACTTTTTAAAAAAAGCAAGGTTGTTATCAACTTAATTGATGGGGGAAGGGGGTATTAAAAATAAACTATACGGTGTACCAGCAAACAAGAAGCTGTCAAAATAATAAAGCTGAATAAATATATCTTCTAAAAATATTACGAAAAATATCACTTTCTTTGGGAGAATAGATACTTTTTTACCATCTTGAATATAACTTTCCCATGCACTGAGTCAAAATTGTATAGATTCCTGAAATTCAATATATTATAAATACCTTAAGACCATCTTTTACAAAAATGTTTGGTTACCCTCTTCCGACCAACTGAATAAAAATGGCTGACTCAAAGTCAAGGACTCAATATATCTTTTTTATCCAGTCAACAAATATGTTGAAATTTTCTGGAAAAAAGATTTTCCAACCTACTGATTCGGGAGAGGGCAAACAAACATTATTTTAAAGATGGCCTAAGTTTTACAATGGCATTAGTCAAAGAGCAGGAATAAGTCTTCTTCTGTTAACTATACCACTCCCGCGATCTATGGACAGCCTTCTCCCACTGTACAAATCTGTCCTTGTACGTCGGCCAGGCGTCTTTTTCTGCTGTGAACACAGTCTCTGAGTCACGTATATTTCTCAGTTCCGACTTGTTCTTCCATATCCCTAAATTACACGGAGGGAAAATTTTTTAAAAATACATGATGAGGTAGACTGAAAAGCATTAATGGATAAATGTACATTTCCAGTATTTTTAAAAACATCAGCATCTGAACAAAAATAATTATTTGCATAACTTTCTTTTTCTTTTTTTTTTTTTGGCCTAACCCAGATTTCTTTTCAAGCAAATCTGTATAACCAGATTTAACTGAACATGTAAGCATGTCTAACTTTTTTTCTAAAATGTAAGATAAATATAAAGGACTGTAAATACCCTTAGCTAGCCCTGCTAAGAATGCTGCCCCCAGACTTGTCATGTTGGCCCTTTGCTTGGCTCGGTCTATCGTTTGATTGGTGAAGTCAGCTATCATCTGCATCAGGAAGTCATTATTGCACACACCCCCATCTGCCCTGAAAAAAAAATATCTCAGATGTACATTTCAATTAGAAAACTTTCTTTCATGAATATATACTTAATAACAAGAGGCCCATGGGCCACATCGCTCACCTGAACACTGTGGCTAGGAAAAAGGAATATATACTTGAAAAATAAAAACACATCATGGCTTTGCTACAGTCTAAAGAATTTTCCCATACATTTCTATGTAAAATGATTTTGGCCCCGCCCTACCCCTGGGGGTCATTTTACAAATTGAATACACTTCAGGATGCTTCCATATAAATAGCTTAATGAGGAGAAGATTTTTAAAGAATTATCCTATATATTTCTATATAAAACTTTGGTCGGCCATTTTGGCCCCGCCCTACCCCTGGGGGTCATGATTTGAACAATTATCTACACTCTCCCATAAGTTTCATCTTTCCTTGCACAGTGGTTCTTGATAAGGGCACCAAATTTTCAATAATTATTACAAAGCGTGGCCCTTCATTTGAATCAATGTTACCCAAGGATACTTTGTGGCAAGTTTGTAATCAGTTGTCTTGAGAAGAAGTGAAAATTGAAAAGTTTACAGACAGATGGAGACACATGCTACAGAGCACAAAATGTGATCAGAAAAGCTCACAGGTGAGAAAACAGCTGAAATGATTCTTGTTTTACAAATTGAATCATTCAATCTTTTAAAGCTTAATACCGGTAATAAGATTTGTAAAAGAAAAGTGGCACAGGTAACAGTATACAAACACAAATACACATAACTGCAATAAAATGTTAACAAAGGTAATGCAAGATATCCAGCACATTCCATGCCAATACCGTGACAATGAAGCAGTCAGGTGTAACTAATGCGAAGGTATACTCTGTATTGATATCGTGGCATATGCCTATATTAATTTCACAAGTCATTTTTATCTTTAAACATGTATGTTTCTGAATCAACAAAAAAGACTCAATTAAAGGGGAATTTTACGCCTGGGAAACCCAGTTGAAATTATTTACCTGGCACACATGCAATGACTTCCCCTGAACAAGGGAAGTAACTTTGATACATTTTTAAAAAGTACATGTAGCATATCTGGACAAGACAACTACATAAACTATTATTTTCATAAAATGAACTTGTAAATGTATCATTAAACACTTGAATTCAAAAATCTGGAATTTCTACCTGATATGGGACAGAGGAATTTTGGTCTCTGATAAGATGGTTTCATACAGTAATTTAACCCTGAAGGCCAGGTTTTCTAGGAGTGCTCGGACTATGTGAGCTTTGGTTGTGGTGGGTTTTAATCCAATCAAAGTAGTTACTGCTTTATCATCATTAATAGGGGCCTAAAAAATAAATCAACGAAAAATAACAAAACAGTGACTTAAGTAATAATATACAGTGATGCTGATACAATATATAAAACATGCACAATGTTCATGCATATATTTATAGCAAATGTATGAGTTCATATTATATATTGCTCCCAACAGTGAAAATTTCATTCAGTACATGTATATAGCAAATATTCATTTATTTTTAATTTTTCCTTGACTTTAACTTTTTATTACAAAGTTACTGTGTTCATACATATATGTACAAAATGCAAACATACAAACAGTGAAGGAAAACAAAATTATATAGTACAACTCCAAATAGGTACATTGTTGAGATTTTCATTTTTTTCACAACAAACAAGATATGGTTTTCATACTGTTAGTATCCAAGCTTCATAATATGGCCATATCAACATTAGGAATTTTTCTTAAAAAATGCATCAATTTTTTCTTCAACACAATGTTGACAATATGTAAGAGAAATTTTTGTGAAATGCAAAGTTATACATGAAAATTTAAATTGCAGGTACAAAATGTACAATTTTTCTAATCTTCATTAATCAATGCCTGGTTTTACAATTTGTAAACTTTACCATTGCAACACAAAACAATGGAATAACTAACTCTGTTTAAAGTTAAAAAAAAACTAAGAATTAAAACAAACAGTGCCCAAAACTGTAAAACATGGCAAAATTAAATCACAACCAGGGCAATATATTCAGAAATTAATAATTGTAAGATTTGTTGTAGCCTGTTGTATGAAATAATGTAATGTTTAAATATGAATAAAACTGATGAATGGGTAATATTTTTTTAAGTAAACACACAAAGGAACAATTGGATAAGTGGTTTTCATATTTTTCTGTAATGCGTTTTTCACCAAGTTTTGCTCTCCACATGCCCAAGTGCTAAAAATGGCCATATAACAACGGAGTAATTAAGACGGCGATTGACACTTAGTTCCTATTTTTATCGAAAAGAAAATAGCAATAAATGAAAATCAGTTTTTCAATTTTTTCTTAAAAAAAACACAATGTTGACAAGCACCAATTATGAGAAATTTTGAAATGGTGAAATAGTGGTGACCGACCTTGCATCATGAATACCATGCTTCAACACTTCGCACCTGATCTATTAATTAGCACTATTGTGTCCCCTACACACCACGTTGTATAAACAAAATTAACAAAACCTGTCATCAAAATGCAAGTTTTAAATTCTAAAATTTAACCATGGCGGGCGCGGATTTTAACCATGGCGCACACAAATTTAACCATGGCACACCTCCATTGTAAAACCCCTTGTGGAGATAGATATATTTGTTACACTTTCACTATTTTATGCTTTGCTGTTGGATTTAACAGATTTTTTTTTTTTTTTTTATGGAGAGATGTTAATCATATATTCACATAATCCTTTGCTTGGCAGCTTTAAAGAAATTTCTTTTAGGGGGGATTAACTTTATATTCTTTGTCTATAACATACCTAGTGATTTAGCCCATTCTATAATGGAGCCAGTGTCTGTTATACTCCCCTCTGCTACAAAGGTTGTCTCACTTCCAATTTTCCACCCCACTATAGGATACAGTCCTAAAAAGAATGTGTTATCATTTGTTATAATGATGTCAATGTTATCCATGAAGAATAAAAGTCTAGGCAATTTTTAAAGACAATAAATGATTTTAAAACCAGTTTATGAAAAAAAAAACCCATAATTTTAAGTGTTCCTTGCTCAGTTTACTTAACTCTAATTCAAAAACAATGTTAAGAAATTTAAACATTCATATGAATGTCTAACTTCCAAAAAGAACACAAGATTTTCTATTACCTCCAACAGAGGCATGTGGTGTGTCTCCACAATTCAAATCAAGAAACGTCCCAGTTCCCATGGTGCATTTGATGTCTCCAACTTCAAAACAGCACTCACCAAATAATGCCCCTGTCTGGTCAGAAACCTGTTTAGAAACAAATATATAGCTGAGAACTTATGTAACAAGAAAGAAAATTAACATGATGGACGAGATCAGGACTCAAACCTGAGGCCCCTGAATATCCAGTCAGGTGCTCTATCGACTGAGCTATATCTGCTATTTTATAGAACATGGCACTTCATTAATATTAAATACTTACCACTGCAGTAATTGGAATGGCTGCCCCAAATATTGCAGGATCTGTGCTTCCAAAATCTCCACTACAACATAACAAGGTCACCATTCATTTATACTACTGGGTAATTCACATCAAAATAAATTATCATATCATATGAGTAACATAATTCAATTTTTTAGAAGACAAACCCTGGATTCAACATAATCATTAACCTTGAAATTTACTTTTAAATAAAAATTCTTCTTTGGAATTTAACACACTCTTAAGAAATATTTCTTGCTATTCATACCTCGTGTCTCTGATCTCTGGTAAAATTTCCATAGGAATGTTCAGTAAGTTACAGACAATGGTGCTCCATTCAAACTGAAAACAAATTAAAGTTTACACAGATACACATCTTAGATTACATCAAACCATAAGTATTCAACTCAGTATGTTGATTTTCTAAAGTAAAGATAAGTTTAGAGGGGACCTTTATATCCAGCAGGTCCAGAGAGGGCAAACTCACAATATTGTTAAAGAGGGACTTTATATAATAAATAGGGTAGAATAAAATGCTGTACCTGGTAAGGATCAAACAGCCCGGTTCCGCTAGCACAGGAATAGTCAGTGGCTATAAGCTTTTCTCTTGTCAGTTTATACAGCAACCATGTTTCTATACAACCTAGGCACACCTCATTTACAGCTAACTTGGCTCGAAGCTTTAATAAAAATCAATATATTTTTAATAAGTGAATTCACTTTTTAAACTGAAGGGATAAAACACTATATTTCTTGCAAATAAAATCCTTATTTTGCTATAAATCTAATGAAAATCAATACAGGAGTCAAAGTGGTTTTTAATATCGACACAATTTTAGCTATTTTAAGAGTTATTTCCCATTAGATAACAATAAGCCCAAATTCCTTCATCTGTTCAACCAATTTAAACTTGTCACATTGGGCATTGCTATTAAAACATAAAATATTATCTACCTGATATTTTACTTCATAAATTCAATTATTAACATTACAAATATTTGGTACATATACAGTATCTGACCTAGCTATACTTCCACTTCACAGGCTCATTATAGGAGTAATAGTTCAGTAGATGTTAAACTCACCTCTTCCACATTTTCTAAAACCCAGATCAACCTCATTGTAACCTAAATAAAGAGACGAATGGATCATTTTCTGACTAATCTACATTTGTATTCAAATCAACAATTTAATTTCAATACAGTAGGCCTATATGTAAATCTATTATACTTAAAAAATTCAAGTTTAATATAAAACTCCAACAGAATTAGGCCAAAATAAAAAATAGTCTTGTTTCCTGCTACCCGACCTACCCTATTTTTTTGCATCCGACCCTAAAGTTTTTTTTAGCTTTTGGGGAAAAAATTCGAAATTTTAGGAATTTCATGTTTCTTAAGTGAAAAATATATATACTCTAAGTTGTATTACATGAAATATATGTTTAAAATATAGACTTTCATAAAATTCTACTTGTCAAATGAGTTGTGCATCAAAAGACATCATTATGGAATTTCATTTTAAAAGATGATATTGACCTTGTAGTAGTTCATATCCAAAGAAATACCGTTGAATAAATGAAATAAAATCAAAAAATAAAATAATTTTTCTACCTACCTACCCTATTTTTTTCTGACTGGTAGCAGGAAACAAGACTATTATTTGTTTTGGCCTCATACACAGATCATGAACAATCAAACACACATGTTAGAAGTTGTTCAAACAGTTCAAATTTATCCAATGTGTAAAAAAAAATCGGGAATTGTAATGGATTTAATTTAAATTTGATTTGAAAAATGCATTCTCAGACATAACACTTACTTTTTCTGGGTCCAAATCCAAAAAAACTTTAAAACTGATTTTGACTTTATAGAAGAATTTAAATAATTATGTGGTACATGTATTACCAGTATACTACTGAGAGAATGCATCTATGTACTTGATCCGAATTAATCTAACCAGCTTTGCAGAGCAAACTAAAAGATGAATTATGCATTAGTATGAGGAAATTTTTGGACACAGTTGATTAACATACCTGTTGTGACATGAATTTCAGCACACTTGCAGACAAAAACCTTTTCTGTCTGGTGAACATGTGTAAAATTGAGGAACCATTATTTAAAGCCTGAAAATTTGAAATGTAGAATTTACGGTAAAACACGGTTATAACAAAAAACCTTAAAATTCAGAGTAACTTTATACTACCTGGTATTCAAGGCTAATTCATAACATTTATAATTAATTTATGAATAAAGTGAAGAGATTTTCTTCCCTGTGGTTTTGAAATGTAAACTTACTGGATAAAATTTCTTAAGGAATCAAAATTATTTATTCCTTGCACTTCTGAATATACATTGAGGATTATTCTGTAGTATATTGACAATAACATAAATCTCAAAATATATAGCAAATCATTCATTCTCTAAGAAAATATGCACATATATAGTACATGAACTTGCCTTCATTCTTAATGAGTTATTCCAGCTTTTGACAATGTTCCTGGACCTCAGGTCTTGCCAGGTAATGAAATTGTGAAAAGGTTTCCCAGTTGTTCTATAAAAAATTAACAATGAAACATAATGTATTACAGTGTACTATAAAATGTAAATTCTTAACCTTTCTAGAGATAAAAATATACTTTCCCCCCAAAATTGCAACATTAATATTCACAAAATATCAAACAAAGTTATATTACTTTATCAATTTTGTATTCATACAATAATCTTATACTTAAATAAAATTTGAGTAACGACTCAGCTTTCTTTTTTTCAAACAAAAGGGAAATTATTCTGCTTTTAAGACATTTCGAGAAGCAGCACTACAAAATGAAATTATTGGCTTTTATTTCTACAATGCTTAAATCAATATTAAGTCTGATGATCACCCATTTACTTGCAAAAAAACTGTTCTTTCAATTTGATATCTATTATGAAGATTCTTTTAAAATATTTTGATAAAGTTCTCGTGCAAGATAGGGAATGTACAGTTATCTTCCTCCTTATTTTAGGATCACCAGTTTTATTGTAATAAGATTGTACTAAACTTAAACCCACTTGTCCCAGGTCAGGAAAGTGTTCCTCTGTGTAGTTATACCCATACAGGTCACGTCATGGACCGTTATTCCCGCAGCTAGAGGGATAGAGAAATAACACATTCAAACTGAACAACGTGCATTAAATAAATCAACTGAATTTCAGCATCTTTAACACTGAATATATACAATACTGTGGATATTAAGAATTGAGTAAATTGAAAGTTTCAAAACTTTATCTTTACTATGAATTTTAAAATAATTAAATCATCAGAATATTTAGATTTAGAAAATCATCAACCTCTAATGGACTCTTTTATGCTGTCTATCACTTGTTTGACCAGGAGATCTGGGTCCATCTCATACCAACCAGGCTGGGGGTGAAGGAGTTGTATCTAAAAAAAAAAAATAGTTGAATGATATTTTTTTCATAAAATAAAAACTTCAATGAAAAAATTGTTTATAAACATGATAAACAACTTTTTGATCATGTTCTAAATTATTCTCAAGATCTGTATTCATATAACCTTATGACAATCTCTGAATAAGAGGTTACCATAAGATGTCAGGAAAAATGCTAAGGACCAGATTTACGACTTTTTTGTGAGGGGAATATCTTAATGCAGCAATAAAGTGCCCCCAAAAAATAATCATTAAGAAAAAGTTATACTGGTTTAGGTCCTTGCTACCCCCTTCCTTCCCCCACTCTTCAAGAAAACTAAAATAACCTGCCCATTATGTTTCTCACCCTTTTACTGCTTGCTCCTTTTATGTTGCCTTGTTTGTTGTAAATATGGCTTCGTAAACTGGTGGTTCCAATATCCACTGCCAACACAAACTTTTCTGCTCCCTCCGATCCACCACTACTGCTAGTCTCATTGTCTGCTGTTGGAGAGTCCATGCGAAGTACTTTCTGCAAGAATAAATTTTAAAAAATGTTCATAATGAATATAACACAAAAATTAAAATGTTTTTTAACAATTTCATTTGCATCCATGCACTTTTTATCGTTTTTCATTGTTATTTTCTTTGGTTTAGTACATTGTCTGTTGTTGGAAAAGACTAGAATATCAAATATTTAAATGATGTTTTAATCTAAAACATGCACCCATTATTTATTTTTAATAAACTTTATTAGATTTAAAACTAAGATCTGTCAACTTTTACATTCAATATGAGGCATCAACCCCATGCAGACATAATTTCAATTTTGTATGTATATACAGGGTCATGCTGGACTCTTCATTTTCATTCATGAGATGGGCCAAGTTTTCCTGAAGTTTTCTATGCTCTATAATATTTCTCCTAAGCTGTTGTTTTTATGAGCTGTTTGGGTTTTTCCCACTTTCACTTTTATTTATCAAAAAGTCAAAAGCATGACAATTAATTTCTGATTTGCTGATGTTAGCAGGTTAATCATGCATAAAGCGTTGCATACATCATAAACATAGTGAAATGTGTCTATGATACGTAATTACGTAGAATCCAAATAAGAAACTTAGATCAGCTGTTGATTTGAACAATTTTGTGAGAAGGCCATGCTTTTGCTGTTTGCACGTACAGTTCATGTGTGATTTATGAAATGATAAAAATGAATCTTACATGAATAAAACTTGCTCGATGTTTATCTTCCATCTATATCTTCATCCTGTGAAACACTCTTTATCAAACGAAAAGAAATATAATCTTATCACGTTTGCACAATGATCTCATTGTTGGACATTTTGAACTGTCACATGACCAATAACACTGGGCACAGTGTAAAGACCTGATGAGTGTAATGACCTGATTGACCTGATGAACATAATTTCAAAAAATAAATGGTAAAATACCAAACAAAATGAACTTTTATTATTTGATTTTAAATGTTATGTCATTTTCTATTATAAAACCAAAAATTAAAATTTTATAAGTCATTTATTTGCATGAATGGGATATTATTCCAATCAATTCAGTGTAATGACCTGATATTTAGTGTAATGACCTGATGAACGTTTATGTTGTTTTATTAAATATATATCCTTTTAAAAACTTTTTTTCTTAAATTTTGGTTACTATTTGTATATATAATGTTTTAGTAAAAACATAAAAATTGCTTATATGTTGTTTTTACAACTTTAATATTCATTTCAATTTTGATACGGTGTAATGACCTGATATGGAATGACTAGCTGATCTATGTTGACAAGATACGTTATTTGCGGATCAGAAGATATATACCTGGTTAATTATTTTTTCAATCATTTCTTAATGATTTCACAAAATATACAGTTCAATCCTTCTTGCATAGAATTATTTTTAAAATATATTTTTTTCATTAATTCATTGGTAACGAGATTTTTTATGTGCACATGGGACAGTGTAAGATGCTAACAATAAGGGATTATATTATTGTAAAAAATATTATGAAGGCTCTTTTTTTAGTTTTTTTTTTCTTGTTTATAATTTATTTTTATAACTTACTATTTTCTCTTTGCATCTTAAAATTTGTTTACTGTTTACACATGTAAGTATGCATGACTTGCGCCACATGTGGTTTTTGTCAAATTGAATAAATAAATAACTAAAATACTTTACATAGAAAAACAATAGAATAACATCCGGCGTATTGATCTGAGCTTAAAAAAAAAATGAAATACGAGATCAAGAGTAATTTACATGATATTTGCTATTTATGTTCAAACTAAAATTTTCACCGATTTGGAACTAAAAAAGTAGCTTTTATCTGTATCTGATATTTAATTCCAAGTCAGAAAAAAATCTGCTACAGTTTTAAATCTCGGATATCTTTGAAACACGATTGATTTAAATTGTGTAATTTACAGGAAAGTCCTATCATTTTATAAAGTATCGAAACAAATAGAAAGATCTTTTTTAATTTAATTTTAGTAAGTCTGAACATATAAAAAAAAAATTCGCCATATATGACTTAAAATGGAAAGTGATTTACACAGATCATTAAAATAATCTAAATAAATATAAGAAAAGGAGCAATGCTACTGTTCTTTTTTCTGCTTAAGACAAACTTTTTTTAAAAAAAAGTCTTAATTTTATTCGTCCTTGTAATTTACACGCTTTAAATTTTTTTTTTTTACATTAATATTGAACTATATTTTAGTCTTCTTTTTTTTTTTTTTCAAAAAATGTCGATGTTGAAAAATGAAAATGCATGGTTTTGTTTCAAGTATGAGAAATTTGATTTAAAGTGTTTTTTTTAATAAAATGTATATATCTTACATTTTCTGTATTTTACACATGTATGTCATAATTAACAAAGTTAAATGTGTTTTGTGTTTGTTTATCAATTCACACGAGTCTTGGTTTACCATGTTGACTGTGATTACACAGGTGACATACGGAAGCCATATCCAGGGGATTAATTGGGTATATAGGGGATATACACATGTACAAACAAGGGGGCAGTGTCTCTTTGACACTATAATGAATTTTAATGCATTATTCCCTTAGGTCACTTAAAATAAAAATAAATTAAATTAAAAAAAAAAAAAAAACAAGCAAGGGTTCAAAAATAGAAATTTAATTTATAAGTCTTTAAATAAATTGAAAAACACAACAAAAATTAAATATTATACATTGTATGGAAGATGACAAAATATTTATTTTTAATTAATGTGTTTTGTTTATGTTATTTTATTATTATTAAATTCTTATTAGATTTTAAATACATTTGCTAATTTATATCTATACATTCATTCTTTAAACAGCAGAAATTGAGATGAATAAGGTCATATCTGAATAGTTAATTGAATTAAATTCCCTATGTGTCATTATAAATAAAAAACATTACATATTTGCTCCATATATACAGTAAATATAAAGCTAAATATTTTTTTATTTAAAAAAAAAAGATAAATGCATGAATGAATGAATGTGTATATAATTACTTAAAACCCAATTTTTATCTCACAAACCTGTAAATATGTTATATTTCTTTGAGATCATGCTATCCATACAAGATTTATCAGATCATTAGATCCATAGTGTCGATCATTCAAATATTTAATTATAGAAAAATATTTCCCAAAAATATCATGTCATTGTAAAATTATTGATTTTAACGAACGTCTTTAATTGTAATAAAGATTACACAAAATGTTTCGACACAAGTTCTAACAACTTAGAACTCAGGTGGTTCTCATGCAATTAAATTGTTGCACTAATGACTTAAAGTCTTGAGGGGGAAGAAATCAAATCAAAATTTAGCACAAACAAGTTTGTTTTATATACGTTCATTACATGTTCATTCATTGTATAACTTATTCAAGTTTTTGTGTTAGACAAAAATGATTAACGAAGTACCGGTATATTAATTCATTCAAAAGTATAAGTTTTCAGAAGAGAAATATCAGGTCAAAGAAATTAAAAATATCAAGTCACGGCAAAGTCAATATTTTCAGAAATTGGTAAAAGATTTCAGTAATTTACAAAAATTATTTATATTTTAGTTTTCTAAAACTATATTACATGTACAAGTCAAATTCAAAATAAATCAAACAATTATATGCAAGATAATTTACTTAGGATAAATCCATCAGGTCATTCTTGATCAGGTCATTATACGTTGAACGGGGAGAGTTACTTTAAAACACTGCCATCTATGATACGACATTTTGGCGCGAAAGTTTAATAAGAAGTGTTTGGGGTTTATTAACGCATTCTTTTAATAAATAGGTTAATTTATGCATTGGCAGCAACACAGATAATTCTTACAAAACTGAAAGTTAATCCTCTGGATAAAATTATTATTCATGAAATATTCTGCAGAGAAACACAGATTTAAAAGCTCGGAAATATTCGGTTTGCTCGAATCTTTTTTGTAGTTTGCCACGTCACTGTTTACTTCCTGGTTGATCGACGATCCGAATCCTCCTCTGTCGGTCTCAGCTGCGAAGCCTCATGTTTTCTCCATGATACCAAGATCCAATCAGACATCACAATATGGATTATCGAATTGTTCAAGGATACTTCCTATGAAAAAATTAAGAATGAAGTCCATATTAATTTTATGTGGTGGTGTCATTTGCGTATTAGGTATGTAAACGTTACTTATCTTTTGATCTATCAAACCTGCGTTTCTTACCCCGCGGATATTAGCTGGATTCATACATATATATACGTGCTAATGAACTTTACTTTTTGAAATGTATAAATGATAATTAATGTTTTAAAGCTTGTATTAGAGTGTATCATAATCTGAATATTGATAATCTAATCATTTGATAATGATTGACATGATCCAGAGTTCACAAGGCACATCCTCAGGTAATGCACCTGGGGTTAACTTTGATGTGTGCATTAGTGCATGACATATATGTATTTTTTATATATATGCATTAGCTAGGGATCATTGCTTGTTAAGTTGTTTTCCCAACTGATTCTGAAATCATTGAAATGTAAAGATTTTGAAACAATTCTATAACTCGTATAAGTTGGTGTAAATGTATGAGCAAAGGGGTCATTAAAATTTATGAAATTGTATCAGTGGAAATATGCAGTATTAGATTTTGTTGCATATAATATTAGTACCTACATTTTTCTCTTATAATATGCTGATGGTGCGGACAAGTGCTGATAATTAACCTTTTCAGCCACGGTGACGGTGTACTATTAGACCTGGGTCTTCAAACATTTGGTGTGCCTGGCTAGACTCTGACATCACATGATATCATATGTAGATGTCAGTTGCATTACAGAAGTTGGCTTACCTATCAATTTGATCGAAATTTTCAGTAAATAAAAAAATACGTAATACCTATAATAATAATACAAGGAGTGCAAACGTTGTCTGCGATGCCATAACGTGACATCATGGGCGGTCAATTTACCCTAAAGGAACAAAAAAAATAATCATACATAATTAACTAGGGAAAAAGATATTACCTTTAGATACGAGTACAAGTATGTATACCTCCCCATTTTAAATTTTCTGGAATGTCTACTGACTTGTCTCTGCATGGTTTCTTTTTGCATATGACCTCAATCATCTAGATTAGCATTTCAGGCAGTTTTGTTCCTTTCTGGATATTTTCAGTCTTGAGCCAGTGGACAGGTGTGAAGGTCAAACATGAACTGACAATAACTCGTGATGTTGAAGACCTACTTTTTAAAAAAAGTTATATCCCTTTCCTTAAAGCATGTATATTAATGCCCTGTTCACACGGAGAGTTTAATTCGAATTAAACGTAAAGCTACTGCGAATTAGCTTCGCTTAGTGTTCACACGGAGAATTTAATGCGAATTAGTTTAATTCTAATTAGTTTACTGCGAATTAAATTTCTTCGCATTAGCTCCGTGTGAACGCTAAGCAAAGCTAATTCGAATTAAATGTTGAGGCATGCGTAATGGCAAAATTAGGTCAAATGCTATATGTCCGTGGTTAAAAAATAAGTATTTGATAGAGTTGGGTATTGCGGGTAAAAACCATATTGCAATATTTACATTTCCAATAAATTTCCCCTATAGTTCTTTACAAAATAAAATGCAGTATATTTTCTCATGAACTACATTAGGTATGTATCACGAATAAGCATGAATATCTCCATTGTTACGTCATAATGCCGCTCTTGACGTCAAAAAATCAAAAAAAATATAGTGCACACTGTTTTGTTTTAAAAATGACAGTTGAACGGCGTAAATCTATGGCAAGTTATCAGAAAAATAATGTAAATATAAGAAATGAATTTAATTTTTTGAAGATTCATAAGGTATATGAACTACAACGCTTCACGCCGGCATATTTATCATGAAGCGCTAACGCGCTTCATGAAATATGCCGGCGTGAAGCGTCGTAGTTCATAACCTCATGAATCTTCAAAAATTAAATTCATTTCTTAAATATTTTACTCGAATATTGCAGTATATTGCAGTTATATTTATATTAATAAATGTGAATAAAAACTAATAAATTGTACTTAATTTATATATTTTAAAAGAACTCTTTACTGTTAAATAGAAAAATATGACACAACAACTACTTACAGACCACTTTACTGTAAATAAAATTCAAATAAACGTTAAAATTTGTGAATTGCTTTGCCAAACGGCAGCTTTAGCCTTTGAGTTCTTCACAACCTCGAACTCTTCGGCCATTTTAACACACTAGAAACTAAAACCCAAACGTACTTTTATTATACTTGTTATACGTACTATATTATGACATAATATAGAGAAAGAGATCAGAAAACCAGAGTTGTTAAACAGTGTGATAGAATAATCTTTTGAATAAATATAATTTTATTGAGAATGGAAGTATTAAAGTAAATAGAATATTAACGTCACATTTTGAGAATATAGATTTTCGGAATTTCAAAGATCAAACCATACCCGGACCCTTAATTGTGTTAGTGTGAAACTTCGGACATCCGGTGTTGTTATTTGACACGAATAAATATGCCTGTGGTGTTGTTGACAAGATAAACACTTTATTTCAACATTTTCTTACAATTCAAAATTGTTTTATATATTCATATATATCGTAAAATACCGGTATCCGACTTTTATATCGCGATATATTGTCGCCATGGGAATTACCGCGATATACCAATATACCGGTAACATTGCGCACCTCTAGTATTTGACGTGCTATTTTTGAAAAAGTATTATTGAAAAACTAAGAAAAATTGTGTTAATCACTAAAATGTGTGCACAGACATTGTAACATTATGTCAAATGCATCTGCTCCTTACGAAAACCATAATAGCCTTTCTGACGCTTGGCCGAAGAAGTAGAATTTTAATTCGCATTAGTTTAATTCGCATTAGATGTCGTGTGGATGCAATTTAATTCGCATAGTTTGATTCGCATTAGTTTACTTCGCATTAATTTATTGCGAATTAAACTCGTCGTGTGAACAGGGCATAAGATTTTGGACATTGATTTTGAGTTTGAAGCCTATGAAACATGTAATCTTGACCTTTTATCATCACATTTAACATGTTTGACAGTATTTTTCATTGTAAAATGTGATATTTATATTTTTTTATGTAATCAGATATTTTGTACTAATTTTTTTCAGTATGGTTCATTGGGTTTTCCAACTCTACAAAAACAGAGTAAGTATATATTAAATAAATTTTATTACTGGTATTTCAAAATTACGTCATCTGTTCCTTATATTAGCATTCAAATGTCTTGGAATTGTTGTGCCTTAAATAGCTATAGTTACAAGGGTATTTTCTATTCCTTAACTCTTATTTTAAAACATTGTAATAATTTCAGTTTTACGAGCCTCCTCAATGGTACAGGACATAGTGAAATATACGATGAAATCACTGCCCTGAAGAAACGCATCAGTCAGCTGGAAAAACAGTATGTATAACACACAACAAAGCACATTTTTAATTTATTATTGATACTTAGCTAGGTCATTCAAGTAGTGTACCCTAACCCTGAGTAAAAAATAAAATCTTGTTTTATTTTTTGCTTTTAAAGATATTTTAAAAACATTTCAGTTTGATATTGATTAGAGATTGATTATTTCCCAGAGATATACATGGATATCTTACTAGCAAGATGTTATTAAATATTATAAAGTACATGTAACAGCTCGTGTAGATAAAAACCGAATGGAGTCTTTTGATTGATCAAACAGCAAAAACAGATACAGGATAGACCAATTTGAATAAATGTGTATGATGTGTACATGCTTTTAAGCTTTGACTTCAGAAAATAAATTTTAAAAGTCTACAACATGGGACACAATATTATTTATTCACATACATGCACATTATTGTATGCATGGATAAATTTTGGAAGTCGGGAAGTGGTATTTATTTGAATTCATATGCCGCCTACTTGAAATGTTGTGATTGTTTTACAAGTATAAATTGAATGAAATTAGCCATGCAGATGTGTCAAGATTTATTCAGAGCGATATGATTCAGAAGGGTTTGGATTTCTCAATTATTTACTGTAATGCACTTGCCATGGGCAAAGTGCATTAGTTATGGACGTGCCTATGCATTTTTTGAAACATGATGACAGAAATAATATATCTTTTTACAGATTTATTTTTGCCCTTTCATTTGCCAACTTGGAGATATTTTTACAAAAAAAATTAAATGTATATATGGTCTTTTTAGACACCAAGTTTAAATACATGAAGAAATTTAATTAAATTCATTCATGTTAATTTTTTAAATTGATAATACAGTAATGAAGGTCATAGGTAAGTCTATATCACTGATCAATGGATCGAATGGCTTCTAATTAAGCAACTTTTTCTTTATTGCCTTTATAAGTCAGTCTTTGCTTACTATAATATATTAAAATTACTTGTAGTTCAATCTGTCACCAGTATTAAATGATCTTTGTCAAAAATTCAGTTTATAACTGATTATATTAAAGAAAAAATTGAAAAAGAAATAAACTGTATTTCAACTGTATAATGTAATCATGATATTCTATAGATCACTATATTTTTGCAACACCTTTTTTGACCTTCTCTCCTTTGGCTAGCAAAGATGGTGATCAGAATAAATTCTCATTTAAACTGTTGTTTTTTTGTTCTTTTTTTTCTTTTTTTTTTTTTGGTAATTATAAATTTTGAAACATATACCAAGGGCATTAAATTTGTCTATTGCTAAATTGTTTCAACTGGTTAATGATTGTAGCAAATTGATTATGTTTTCTGGAATTTTTTTTTAACTTTGAATCTTTCTTTAAGGTGTGCATAAATAAACCAAGAAAAAACACTAATATATATCTATAAAACTGTGTTAAATTTATGGAAAGGAATGTGTTCATTGGTCTAGGAATGTGCCTTAATTATTAACAATAACTTTTTAATTAATAAAGTGAAATTAATCCTGTATTAAAGTCTAAGGAAAAATATTATGTAGAATTTGCACAAAATTTTCATTCATAAATATTTTATTAAAATGCATGTCCATTAAAGCTAGAAATAAAAACATTTAATTGATAATTAAAATATATTAAAAATACAGCCAGCTTTGCTTAATAAAAACAACTTTTAAACAGGTCACTTTTCTTTTCATGCATGACATATATATTACATGTACAATTTATTTCCATTTTATGTATTCAAAATCCTAATTATTATTTTCATCCTTTAGAATCAAGCTACATGTAGGCCTAAATGATGATTTAATGGTGGATAAACAAATCTCCATTGTGTTAGGCAACTGACAATATTGATTCTGCTAATATTTTCAAAAGATTTTTTTTATATATATTTCTTATCTTTATACAATTTTATAATTTATTATACAGAAATAAGATTTATCCAGATGTGAAATTCCTGAATTATAAAGATAGAAAAAGGATCTTGGTATGTATACCGGTATATAAGTCACATCTCAATATCAAAAACTCAGCATGACTGACAAAAAAACTCTCTGTATCAAAAGGATTGAATTGTTGAGGTTGTCACAGTAAAATCTTATTCAGGTTAAATTATAGGTTTACTCCAAACTTGGCCCTTGCATTCTATTGAACTTCAAATACTGTTACATAGTCATTTTCTGCTAGCCAAGGATTTCTGATATGCTACTCTCCTCAAAAGAGGAGTTTATGAGCTGGAGATTAGAGCATCAGAATTCCTTGGCTAGTGAAGATGATATATGGCATGCAACTTTCATAACAGTGAAATCTTCTAGTAAACACTGTTTATATTCCAAATTTCAGAATAAAAAAGGAGAATATGTTGAATAGTATTTTTAAAATTCTTTCTTAAATAAATAATGACCAAGATAATTTTATTTCTGAATTTAAGTCTATAACAAACTTTTCTGATTGATATCAGAGTTCTATATTTAGATCTCAGGAGGTGCCGGTTTTGTTGGATCTCACCTTGTGGACAGGTTAATGTTAGAAGGTCACGAGGTCACGGTCGTAGACAACTTCTTCACCGGCAGGAAACGGAACGTGGAACACTGGATTGGACACGAAAACTTCGAGTTAATAAATCATGATATTGTGCAGACACTATTTATAGAAGGTAAGTGAATGCACTGTACATGTACATAAATTGGTGTACACTTTTTTACAGGGTCATAATTTCAAAATTTAATTTACTCAAATTTTGTTGACTATCACTATATGCCTTACATGTATATAAAGTACACTTTGGTATAAAGTTGTTGGAGTATTCATGAATTAGTGCTTCACGTGTGTGTGCCGTACATTGTTTATACAAATGATTTCTTAGCTGTATCAATGAATTAGCGCATCACTGTCGGTGCCAAAGCCGCTAAAAAAATGGAGCGTGCATTTTTAAGCACACATACACTAATTGACAAAATTTTACCAGTAACTGTCAATAGAAACACAATGAGCCTTGTTTGTTGTGATGCATATGTATAATACAAATTTAAATGTTGATATTGTATAACAGGTATTTATAGAAGGTAAGTAAAGTCCATAAACTATCATCATTCTTATAAATATATCTGCCAGGTTAATTTACCATTACACCACTGGTACTTTAATTGACAGTCTTTTCTCTAACTGCTTCCAGGATTTAAAAGGCTTTAAGATTTCTCCATAAATTAAGAGTTTAAAAAAAGACTACAGACTTTTTGTATACAATGCCTGGTGGGCTGTTTTTAGTGATGTTGGATCAAAGGATGCTTTACCAATTGGGCCACTACCAAAGCATCTTAATCCCTGGAATATGGGTTTTTGTTATAAGTTTTCCATTCTTCCAATGGAAGCATTTTCTTTTTTTGTTTTTCTATAAGAACCATTCTTTTATTAATGAAACTTTACAATTTTGATCAGACTCCCCAATAAAATTTGGAGATACCTGAAGAAATAGAGACATGAAACAATAAGGATAATAAAACACAACATTTGAATTTTGATTTCTTCAAATGATGCAAAAAATTGCATATTTTCCTAGCTAAAACTTATTTTGAAACACACTTCCTTTTTGCATTAAACATTTCTTACAGCTTTGAGTATTCCAAAATAAAAGCCAATACCATCAAACTTTCAAAATGGTTTTTACATGTTTTAATTTTAGACCTTTACTCTTCCAAGATATGTTTTGTGGTCATTGCCTTGAAACCAATTTTATGAACAACTTACTGTAAACTTATTTTTATTTGCATGCGAGAAATTTTCGTGAAGTTCGCGAGAGCATCATCATCACAAATATTTCTTGCTGCAAACCGGTCCATAAAGTGTTATTTGTCTATATTTACATTTCCAATGTCTTTGTCCGAGATAAAATTACTAATTGTAAATGTAATTGATTTCCTCATGAATGTTTTGGCGCGGTTCCAAAAAAAAAAAAACCATGTACAACCCAGTGAAAACCATCAAAACTAATACCATAGGGACCAACAACATGCTGGGTAGGTACTCAATATAATCAACTACATGTACAACCCAGTGAAAACCATCAAAACTAATACATGAAGATCGATGATCAATGGATTGGCTTGTGTGATAATATAATTATACATAAACCCAGTGAAAACCATCAAAACTAAAACAATAGTTACCTAGATCAAGCTGGGAAGTACCTCAATATAATCAACTACATGTACAGTTATTCCTTAAATAAATAACAGATCCAAAAAGGCTTGGTCGCGAAAAATTAATCGTCACAAACTAGTTTACCCCAGCTAAATCGCAAAATAAAGTTGTCGCAAATAAAATTTATTACAGCATTAATTGTTTTGTGAGGAAAAAAGGATGCATTTCATTGAAATTAATATTTAAAATTTCTTTCAGTGGACCAGATTTATCACCTGGCCTCACCCGCTTCTCCCCCTAACTACATGTACAACCCAGTCAAGACCATCAAAACAAATACCATAGGGACCAACAACATGTTGGGTAGGTACTTAATATAATCAACTACATGTACAACCCAGTGAAGACATTCAAAACTAACACCAGATAATTTATTTTGCAAATTATAATTACATTCAATACTAGCTTTTTTTTAAGAGGAAATATTTTTACGATAGGGTACTTGTAAACCAATGTATTGAGAGAAATAAACAGCAGAAACTCTTTTGTTTCATATGTAAGATCATAAACTTAATCAGCAATCCAAACTGTATGAAAAAAAAACATGTACATATATGAAGGACTTTAACAGGATGTGTATTAGCCTAAAGTTAGCCCCTGGTAGTAATACATAATACACCTAGTGCACCCGTGACTTTTCCATCAGAAAGTCATTCAATGCATTCTTTCACATGTATTTACCTTTATTCAAAGAATACAATGTCATGTTTATATTAAATTTTTTTAATTTCTAATTTAGATGTGTATTATGTTACATTGTAGGTTTAACTAAGAGGGTGAGAGGGAGGCTCCTATTGGCCTCCACATCTGAAGTATACGGTGGTATGTACATCATTATACACAATTTGGATGTATTATTTATAAACAGCATACACATGAGTTTGGCAAATGTACCAAATGAGTTGCCTATAGCTACTTCACATCCCTTTTCCAGACAAAATCTCTTGTATTTTCTAAAATTAAAACATACTTTGTACATGTGGATTTTATACTTCTGTGCAAAGCAGATTTTGGGAATAGAGTGGTCATGCAAATTTAATGATCTAAGTAAGTCAGCTAGATCAACAGAAGAACATGTAGAGTTTTAATGTGCCTTTTAACCATCTACTGATCTAGTGAGCTCACACAGTAATATGACAATGCTTCAAATTTTGTTGAAATTGCTATTTTATGCTAAATAATATTTTGGATGAAGTAAATCCTGTCATTTTGAATCTTTCCAGGAAATATCAATAAACTCTTTTCAGTTGTTTATGTCATGCATAGGTAGGAAAGCCACTGTTCACTGAAAAGTGACACCCTGTCCCTAAGTTTCGCATTTGGCTTCCCTTAAATTTGTCTGTTTACATACATGTAGATCCAGAAGTTCACCCCCAGCCAGAGGAATACTGGGGACATGTAAACCCCATTGGTCCTAGAGCCTGCTATGATGAGGGAAAAAGAGTAGCTGAAACCATGTGTTATGCGTATGCAAAACAGGTAAACTGTTAACTGGAGTCTGTTTTTTTTTTTTATATATAAATTACTTATTTCAGCATGAAAGGGTATGACATTGAAAAGAAACCCTCATGACTTTAACATATCTTCTCCAGCATATAACAGTTAACTATAAAAAGGGAAGAATGCTTTCAGCTAGAGGAACATATTTTTTTCAACTCATTTAATATGCAAGTCTTTTCAGTTCATTCTTAACAAGTCAAATTTTGTAATTAATGGCTTACAATTCAATGTTTTAGGATGGAGTACAAGTAAGGGTGGCCAGAATATTTAATACTTTTGGTCCCAGAATGCACATGAACGATGGACGTGTGGTTTCTAACTTTATCCTACAGGCTTTACAGGGACAGAATATTACAGTGAGTAATGAATGAAAGACAGTAATCCTCATTTACAGAAAAACATGACTACTGTTAACCAACTTTTATTTGCGTGCGAGAAATATTCACGAAGTTTACGAGAGCCTCGTCATCGCCAATATTTCTCACCGTGAACGGACCTTAAAGTCTCTGTGTCTATTAAAAACAGATCCAAAGAGACCTGATCACGAAAATTAATCGTCGCCAAGTAGTTTACCCACGGTAAATCACGAAATAAAGTCCTCATGAAATAAAAGTTGGTTTACAGTATTTGGGAACACTCTTGATTTTAAGAATCCTGTTTGAAAATGATCCTTTCTTAATTTTTTCAATGAGAAAATTTTTCTGTCAGTCATTATTTTATACTACTGTTATTATTATTTTTTTTTCATTCTATTTTATATATGGAGTGTTTTGATTTTTCTAAAAATCAAATTCCTTTCTCTAGGTCTAGATCTATTCAAACAAATATTGACGTTTTCTACTCTTGTGATCTTTTAATTCTTTCTCTTTGTCTACTTGTACTGAAGTTTTCTACTGCTTTATTCCTGTCTCTTTGTCTACTTTAAATTACTGAGGTTTTCTTCTCTTATTCTTATTCTTTTATTCCTGCCTACTTTTACTGAGGTTTTCTACTCTTTTATGTACAGGTGTATGGATCAGGAGAACAGACTCGGTCCTTTCAGTATGTCTCAGACCTGGTAGATGGTCTCATTAAGCTGATGAATTCTAATTACTCCCAACCAATCAACTTAGGAAATCCTGAGGAACACACTATCATGGACTTTGCTACTATCATTAAAGATCTAGTTGGTAGGTGAAAACCATATTTCCAATAAAGTTAAAACTTAAGGATAATTAAGGGTTAAGATTTATTTCAAACAAGTTAATACATGCAAGGAGAATCAATTAAAATGACCCAAATTTATTTTTTTCCCAAAATGATTTGAAAAATACAGGAGGGTCATATCCCGTAAAATTCCACACACATATGACATATTTTTCTTATTGCTAGCGCTCTCGAGCGCTAGCAACTACGTTAGTCCAAATTCCTTGAATACGCATGCTCGGCCGCCATGGCCATACATTCTGGGAAAACTGTGAAAAACTACTACAGATAGACCGTATGATAACAATTTCGTTGTATTTTGTTGTAGCATGAAATAACTATTTATTTATTGTGTAACTTACACTTTAAAGATAACTTCATATTTATAATATTTCAAATTCTGGGGGTTTTTTTGCTGACGGAAAAGCCCGAGCCAGTACTTCCCGAGCACAACCAAAGATAGATTCTAATTTCTGATTGGTCAATTCAGCCAATCTTACAAATTCCAGAAACAGAAGCAAGAATTTACACTAAAAACAACGAATAAATCCACTATTTGTGTTTAAAAAATTCTGATGTGTATGGCTTTTAACCTAACATATCTTGACAAAGATGACCCAAAGGACCAATTAAGCTACTTCAAAACTCTCTGGACTCTTTACACGACATACACTTTGAGTTATTAGCTCACCTGAGCCGAAGGCTCAAGTGAGCTTTTCTGATCACATTTTGTCCGTCGTCCGTCCGTCCGTCTGTCTGTCTGTCTGTCCGTCCGTCTGTAAACTTTTCACATTTTCGACTTCATCTCAAGAACCACTGGGCCTATTTTGACCATACTTGGTACACAGCATCCTTGGGTGAAGGGGAATTTAAATTGTAAAAATGAAGGGACATATCCCCTCGCAAGGGGAGATAACCAAGAAAAGACAAAAATAGGGTGGGGTCATTAAAAAATCTTCTTCTCAAGAACCACTGGGCCAATAAGGCTGAAACTGATGTGGAAGCACCCTGGGATAGTGTAGATTCTAAATTGTTCAAATCATGACCCCCGGGGGTTGGGCGGGGCCACAATGGGGAATCAAAGTTTTACATAGAAATATATTGGAAAAATCTTTGAAAATCTTCTTCTCAAGAACCACTGGGCCAGAAAAGCTGAAACTGATGTGGAAGCACCCTTGGGTAGTGTAAATTCTAAATTGTTCAAATCATGACCCCCGGGGGTGGGGCGGGGCTACAATGGGGAATCAAAGTTTTACATAGAAATATATAGGAAAAATCTTTGAAAATCTTCTTCTCAAGAACCACTGGGCCAGAAAAGCTGAAACTCATGTGGAAGCATCGTTGGGCAGTGTAGATTGTAAATTGTTTAAAACATGACCCTGGGGGGTAGGGCTGGGCCACAAGGGTGAATCAAAGTTTTACATAGAAATATTTAGGAAAAATCTTTGAAAATCTTCTGCTCAAGAACAACTGGGCCAGAAAAGCTGAAACTGATGTGGAAGCACCCTGGGGTAGTGTAGATTCTAAATTGTTCAAAGCATGACCCTGGAGGGTAGGGCGGGGCCACAATGGTGAATCAAAGTTTTACATAGAAATATTTAGGAAAAATCTTTGAAAATCTTCTTCTCAAGAACCACTGGGCCAGAAAAGCTGAAACTGATGTGGAAGCACCCTTGGGTTGTGTTAATTCTAAATTGTTCAAATCATGACCCCCCGGGGGTGGGGCGGGGCCAGAATGGGGAATCAAAGTTTTACATAGAAATATTTAGGAAAAATCTTTGAAAATCTTCTCAAGAACTACTGGGCCAGAAAAGCTGAAACTGATGTGGAAGCACCCTGGGGTAGTGTAGATTCTAAATTGTTCAAATCATGACCCCCGGGGGGTGGGGCGGGGCCACAATGGGGAATCAAAGTTTTACATAGAGATATATAGGACGAATCTTTGAAAATTTTCTCTTTAAGACCCACTGGGCCAGAAAAACTGAAACTGATGTGGAAGCACCCTGGGGTAGTGTAGATTCTAAATTGTTCAAATAATGACCCCCGGGGGTAGGGCGGGGCCACAATGGTAAATCAAAGTTTTACATAGAAATATATGGGAAAAATCTTTAAAAATCATCTTCTCAAGAACCACTGGGCCAGAAAAGCTGAAACTTATGTGGAAGCATCCTGGGTAGTGTAGATTTCAAATTGTGTAAATTACGATCATTGGGGTATAGGGTGGGGTCACAATATGTATTACAAGGGGGAAATCTGGTAAAAAACAATATGACAAAAGATTCTCAGGTGAGTGATGTGGCCCATGGGCCTCTTGTTTTCTATATTCCTTTCAGCTTCCATGTATTTTCTTCGCTACATTTCCACGAAATTCTCTTCTTTAAATCAGCTCATACATGCAATGTCTCAATCTGCATCTTCTTCATATTATATAGAGCCACCCCCCCCCCCCCCCCCTCTCCAGTAAAGGTCATATATGTTCTGTTGCGCCAAAACTCCAATAGGTCACCCTCCCCCCTTATTTCTTAACCTTTGTGTCTACAAAATGCGCCTCACAGAACAATAATAACTTTATCACTCTCCAGCCCTGATAAAAATTAAAGAGTTCAGCAAAATAAATCACATGATCATGGATCTTCCTTTCTGTTTAAAAAATGCTACGGCGCTAGCTCACCTATCTTTTTAAAAGATAAACTTGTTTTTACAAATTAAGGAAAACTAAGGAAATTCCTTAAATTTTTTTTTCGAGTTTTGGCCTTGCTATGATGCGGTAATTTAATAATTTACTCATTTTATTACATAAGAATTACGTTTTTTAAAAATCCTGTTCATCTTTAAAAAAATGATTATTTTCTCTAGTTGATTGTTAACACAGGCTTGTAAAACGAACATGTTTCCCCTTTTAAAAAAGTTTTGTTTTGTTCGAGTTATTTCCCCTTTCTCGTATGGGTTACATTTTATGCTGTATATCATAGAAGAGTTTGAAAAAAAATAAATAAAAATGGCTTCTAGTTCATAAAATTAACTTTAGATGAACTTTAATGCAGTAAAATAAATACACTTAGACCATGCAAAGTTAATTCCTTGGTTCTCAGGCTTTTTTTAAAAAGATATATGATAAAGGAAGGAGGCATTTTTTTAATAACTTTTTATTTCCCCCAAAACATGATGAGGCAGCTTTTTACATCGTACAAAACCTCAGAAAATGATGAGGGAGGTGATTTGTTGTTTTGATTTTATTATTAGATTTTGCAATGAAAAGGGTCAACAAGGCACCATTGGAAGAGATGAGGGAGGGCCTGAGAACCATTAAATTAATTTTTTATGGCCTTATTTATTGTAACACAGTTACTGTTTCAGATGTAAACAAAGACGTAGCAATTGAATTTTTTTGATTACTATTAAATCTAGTGAATAAAATTGAACAAAAAAGATTAATTTAAAAGTGTACTCAAATTTCTTCTCTTCCTTTGAAGGTGGATCCAGCCAGATTGTCAATAAGCCCGCTATGCAAGATGACCCACGAAAAAGAAAACCTGACATAACTAAGGCAAAGAAGTATTTGAAATGGTCACCCCAGGTAAGAAAGTACTTTAATTACTATGAGGCCAAGCTTAAAAAATCCTTTGTTTGCAGTTGCCGACCTATAATTTTCAGACTGGGTAGGTAGGTAGGCATCCTTTTTTTTTTTTTTTTTTTTTTTTTTGAAAGAAAAATAAAATTCAGATTTTTGTTAAATAACAAATAATAGAACTTTTCCATGTTTTCATTGGCCTACTAAACATGAGTAAGATCCACTCTTGTTATAAACCACTGATAGATAAAAACAAAAGTCAAAAATTGAAAATGAAACAATTTTTAATAATCTGAAAAATTAAAAAAAAAAAAAAAATTACAAAATGGCTAAAAAAAAGTTTGGGTCGGGTGCATTTTCAGTGGGTCGGTAGGCAACTGCAAACAAACTAATTTTTATTTTAGGCCTGAGTGATACAGTACACTATTTATACTGCTTGCTTGGTAATGAAACTAGCTCTGTTTGTGATCTTACAGATGCAATTTCTTGGATGCACAATTTGGATCTTTTAACTTGAATTTTGTTTAAATCATGAAACCTTATTTTTTTTACAGGTGCCAATGATTGAAGGAATAAAGAAAACAATAGAATATTTTAGAAATGAATTAAAGAGAACACGACACAGTGAAAGAAATCTACATTTTCCAAATTAAGATATACAGGGATAGATGCATATAAAAGAAAGTGCCAGGAACGGATGACTTTGCAAGTAACTTACAGACATTCAGTTCCCAAAAATTAAGGCCATGGGAAATGAAAATCATTTTGACTGGAGAGTCGTTTCATTCTCATTGTGTTTGCTATAAGCGTCTTTTACTGTTTAAGTGTGTAGCAGAATTAAGAACCGGTTATTTTTTTATTTTAGCGTATATTTTTCTAGGTTGTTCAATTCTTTACATCACTGCTCAACTAAAAATATGAAACTGTGTTTATGTTTTTATCTGTGCTGCGTCTTTGTTAATATACATTCCATTTTCATGTTCAATTGATTTAAAATTCCTGAGCATAATGTATGTCTATTTTCATGTAGGACAGGCTATGGTAATGGCAGAATGTGGTCACTTATCAAAACCCAGTTAAAATTGTGATTATAGTTTAAATTTAAACTAACTTAAATTAATCCTTGTACTGTATACAGGGTTATTTTCGCCCCATTTAAATTTCGCCCTTTCACACTTGCAAACAATTTTGCCCCGTTTTAAATTCGCCCAATCAGAGTTTTATTAAAGAAATTATATCGTATTATTTCATTTCGCCCCATTTTAAATTCGCCCAAATGAGGGTAGGACGAAAGGCGCGAAAATAACCCTGTATACAGTATTATTTTTGCTTGTTTGTTTCTTGTTTCTTATCTCTCTTGAGAATTTGTCACTCATATGGAGGCATTATTTTTGATTCAAGCTGTATATGTAAATTTAACATTTTATTGAATTTCATCATTTTTGAGGGGAACTCATAAAATTTTAGATACTTGTACTTTTCACTTGAGAAAACATGGAAGACAAGCTTGCCTGTCTGATATTTTCATAAGATTCATAGATACAAAAGATTGTCCCTGGTTTTTTCCAACCATTTGTGCTTTAAAATGGAGGAAAATTGGAATAAAATATGAGAAAATTTGGAGAAAGATAAATTTGTGATATTCTTTGACCTCTGCATCATTTCACTTAGACCTATTACTGCATGATTTTAGGACAATGATGATGAAAGATTTTCGATCATTGTTCTAAAAAACCCTCAAACTAAGCTAACATTTTCTCATCCTTT